GGGGGGGGGGGTGGGAGACAAACAAAAAAATCAAAAACCAACAAAAAACCCCACAAGAAAACCTACAGCTTCCAAACTAGAAACAGTGTTGAAGGACTTAGGACACAGGACAGCTTGCTCTGAATCTTCAAATTGCACTGTGACACAAAATGACAAGATAAAATGTGATGGATGGAGCAGAGAAAAATTCCAAGGAAAACATGACTTTTTCAAATTATGAAAATTCCCTACCTGACCTTACTTCAGTGGGAAATGTAGTACTTAACACTACTTGCTAAACAAGGAAATTCTAGTAGAATACGTGTCCAGTCTTCAATGTGGTTTTCAACCAATATTTAAACACAATCTAGTGTTATGTCTATGTGATACTTTCAAACTTTATTTTTAAAAAGCATATGTCATTATAAAAGTCTAATGACAGCTACAAGTGTTTCTTGCTTGGCAGTCACTTTTCCACTTCTTTCCAAGTATTGTCACATATTTATCAAAAGAGCATATTCTACTTGTAGAAACTTTTCATTTTTATATTTTATTTTTAGTTGTCCATTAGCGCCAAAGACATTGGGCATCCATAGATAAAAAAACATCAATTCAGAACCAGTATCATGTGATCCACAGATGAACCTGTCATCAACATGTAGAGAGGCACAAACTCTTCACCTTGTCACATAGCTCAAGTCTGGACATCCATTTTCCTCTTCTCAAAGTGCAAACTGAGCCAATCCCCATGTAATACATGCAGTCTCTACAGGAACTTCACAGTTTTCTTTTTTGTGAAATGATATTTTTCTGAATTGCAAATTACAACTGCTGTTCAGTCTGTAATATCAGGAAATACATTTCATGTTTCTCATTCTTGAAAGACAAAAACTCATTCCTCTAATATATAGTTCAAAATTTTTCCTATTTTTCATGATGCTTCAATGTGAAACTTTACCTTTGGACACAGAACTACATTAGAGTGGAGCTCTACGCTACTACAATGGAGCTCTATATCCAAAATCCAGTGGAGTAGTATTTGAATGAGATATATGATATGAAAACATAGGATTTTTAAATAAACAGGATGGAAAAAAAATGTGACCACCGTTCACTCACATAAGAATAATTATTGTAAATAGCACTTACCGAACTAATATTATGTTGATTTTTCTTTACCCTCTCAATCTCTGGAGTCTCTTTTACAGCTGTGCCAGCCCCTACTTCCTTCTTATAAAACACCTTCATTTCCCCAAAAGAAAAAGTAATTATGAGACTGTTAGCAATGCAAGTACAAGTTTCTATAAAAGGGCTAGGCAATTTTCCAAGTTCCAAATTGGTCTGACTATAAATCTTGCTAAGAAAGCAAATACATTAATTTTTTGTGAATCAGACCAATTATCAATAACAACGTTCTGTTTATTTCCAACTGTAACCCAGATAATCTATTATCATCCTTTAGACTGATCTCAAACATTCCTAAGTACTTGTAATGACAGTTTTAACTTTGGAAATAGTATTAAAATTTAGATCATAATCTAGAGATATTTACAAATGCAACTTTATGCTTGAGTAATCTCACTCATTTCAATGTAACTGAACATGCACACATATGCAAGATTTGAATTGGTTTTTTTAATCTTCATATCTTAAAATATTCTGAGGAGTGAACAGGTATTATTATTTCTAATTTAACAAACTAGAAATTTGACATATTCATGACAAAACAACCAGAACAGCCAGAGCTATAATCCAAGTCATGCAATTTTTTGATTTCTGAGCTCAATCCAGAAAGCTGAGGGCCACATCTATAACCAAAGCTCACTTCTGAAAAGATGCACATGCTTTTTATATCATTCTCCTCTCTTTTTCAATTGTTTTGGTAAAGGATAAAATACAAAGCACATCAGTAGAATCAATCATTCAAAGTTACTGAAAGAGACAGTAATTAACTGCTCCACAAATTCCAAATGTGGCTATAATTTCAATAACCATGGAGCACCAGTTCACACTGCAAAACTCCTAAAGAAGTTTTGATTTAATTTCAGTATTTCGTGTCACAGCTGCTGCCACTCCAGTAAGTATTTCCAGGCTGATAGTGTAAAAACAAGTCTGATCTTGGAGTTTGTAAAATAAACGTTTACCATTTAGTATTTCCACCTTTCCTAAATCAAGATTTATTCAACTTTTTTTTTCCTGTCAATAAACCTTAAATGTCACTCTTAATGCATCTCTCTTACTTCCTCAAAGTAACCTAGGGTGACCAGTACTGCCAAATATTCTAGAGGAGAGTGAATTATTTACATTCATAACTCATTTTTTAAATATTCAGAAAACTTTTAACGATTTAGAACCTTATTTAACCATATGAGAACAGATTCGGTTTATGAGTAAGAACTTAAAAATTCTTCTGCACCAACATGTCACTACGAGGCAGAAAGATTTACACAGTGGACTGAACAAAAATATTCTTTTCTCCTATACCAAGGAGGGAATGGTAAAAAATGTTGGATCTGGGAATTTTTCTATGAAAGAGATGACTGTGCAGTAATTATCCTATTGTAAATCATCTGTCAAATAAGCCAGTGAGCTAAAAGCAGCACTGATCCTATCTGCAGAGCTAGCCACTTTTTTTGTCCCTTAAGGCAGGAAAATACTTGAGACAAAATCCAAAAATCAGAAGCCTCTTAAGTGTCATCTATTATTTTTATTAATTTTTTTATATCGGAGTTGCTCCCTGCTATAACTTAACTTAGTAAAAGTAAATTACCTTTACAATCTAAATTGCCCAGAATGATGAAAGATTAAGACATAGAGAAAGCAAAAAAGTTCAATCACAGTTATAAACTGCTTTCCTACATTTGGAAGATCCAGTTCAGAAACAGAAAAAGGATGATCACAAAATAAAGCAAACACAAATCAACTCAAAGACAAAATACTTTTATTTCCTATTATCCAGTACACTAACAAAGAGGATAATTGTCAGCCTTGACACTGGAAGCTCAGACCGGCCTACAGGGCTGCAAGGGGTTCAGATGTGTCAGTGGCATATCAAGGCTTAATTAAGTAGTGGGAGGTTATGATGTGCCTGGTATGTAACTGTTAGAGAATCTGCTCATCAAAAGACTGGAGCAGGGAGGAAAGCAGATCAGTAGAGGCTACCTTGGATTCCCTCTGTTACATGATGTTTCGGAGTAGCATGTTAGGATGGCAGTGATATGAGATATGGTGCTAAGCACCATCACGCTGCACAGCAGAGCACCATTCAAAACCAACAGGTTACAAGTAACAAAATTGGGACCAGTGGGCCTGTCAACAGCTCCTATTAGAAAGACACAGCTTTCAGCTGCTCCCATCTGAAGGAATAAAAGGAGCAGGCAATGGCTGGAAGACATTATAGGAAAGACCACTGTCTACAGCAGCCTCGGAAACTTTTCTTCTTTCCTCTCCCTACAGGCTCTTACTCCCCAAGTGAAGCCGCAGTGGTAGGAGACAGCTGCAGGTAAACATCTCTGAGGAAAACTGATCAACATTGTACTTGTGTGGAGTTGGAGAAGCTGAGAATATCTCTAAGAAAAAGAACTCAATCTATGTCAGATAATACTAAACTACTTAAGTAATTTATATTCCTTTCTCTTAAATCATTGGCTTTATTAGTATTACTTAGTCTGCCATAAAAAAAAACCCCAGACACTAACTGGATAGCCTTTGGTTCTGGAAGCTATATTTAGTCCTCCTCTTCTCTTCTCTGTTATACTACAAGCAAAACTAGAATTACAAACAGCAGAACTAATGGGCCCAAAACAGAAATGAAATTGAATGCATCACAAACTGGGCAATTTTAGAAACATAAGCTCATAATTTATATTTAGGGATAAACTGAAACTTAAATCTAGCATAAAATTAAAAAAATATATCCAATATAACATAAAATCATTAGACATACATATTTATGAAACCTGATCTGTTCTAATTTTATACCTGAATCTTGATAATTCTGTACATATGATAGGAAACATATGAAAAATCTTATATGCACAGTAACAAGCCTTATATTTTTTTTGTCTTTTTAAATAAAGTACTTCCCTGGGCTTGATGGAAAAAGAAAGAAAATCTCAATTCAAAAATAACTGTGGCTTGGCAAGGTGGTGTAAGTGGTTTAGCAATTCAAAAAAACAGTGTCACACCTAGAAAAGCTGCTTATTTTTTTTACTGAAAGAAATGAGTGATACAGCTTTTGCCAGGAAAATTATGCAAATGGCTGAAAGGACATTTACTCATAAGTTCCCTATTTCATGCTGTGGCACAAGAAAGCATATTTAAACTTAAAAATATCTGAAAAGTTGCAAGCAAAGAGAGAAGCACTATTACTCACTGAACTGATGTTTTTCTGAGTACTTTTTATCCTCTCCATCTCTGGAGTATCTGGGACAGCAGAATAGTTACAGAGCATCTTCTCTGCTTCATCTTTGTACATTTTCTGAAAAATAATTTTAAAATGTCTATTTCCTGCTTTTCTGGGCTTAGAATATCCAAACTGCAACAGAAGATGCTTATTGCTGATAAGCCTCAACATCCTTATCCAGTATTTATTTCAACCTCTCTCCTCCATGGTATTGTTATCATTGTCTGTGTGGGACACCTGACAGTGTCCAACACTGAAAATACATAATATATATGTATAATACATTTGCATATATATTCGATATTTCCCCTTCACTGTCAGCAAGGATAACCTTCTCATCAGGTAATATGAAAAGACCTTCAAGAAGATGTAAACAATGAAATTTCATTTACGTGGCTTGACATGCTTAAATACAAATAAGAATCAGGCAATAAGATTTTTTTACTAGACATAAATTATTTTAATATGGGTATGAAAGCCTCTACAGAGTCAGAGAAGTATTTTGAGCAATGTATATCAAGCACTCATTGTACCCAGAACTAAAACATTCAGCCTCTAAACCATGCCTACCTGGCTTGCTATCTCTGAAGCCCTTTTGACCCGTTGTATTTCAGGAGTATATGGACCAACTTGCATTCCTTTTCCTATAATTTCAGTCTCCAGATCCTTTTTATATTCTTTCTGAAGGAAAAAAAAAAAAGGAAGAAGGAAAAAAACCCATAACTGATTGTACAGTTATTTGTACATGCTGTCTTCAAAGCTATTCTGATAGCACTGGTTAAACTTTAAAATAAACTCTTCCATTTCTTTAATTTATTTTTTTATTGTGCACTCCTTACTCCTTTTAGCTTGAGTAAATTCAAGAAGATTTTTGTTTTTAACATCTCATTGTGTTTTACTTCCAAGGTAATCTAAAGAGATTCAGTCAGTACTCACCTGGCTTACAATTTCAGAAGCTTTTTTGGCTCGTTGTATATCAGGGGTATCCATGCCCACTACCATTCCCTTTCCTTTAATTTCATTTTCCAAGTCTTTCTTGTATTCTTTCTGAAAAGAACAGCACTGGAAATGCTCATATGTCTGACAGCCAAATTCTTAAATTGTTCTACTTTAATTTGCAATTCCACTGAACAGCATTCTTAAAACATCAAATAATTTTTGATTCAACCACATAAGCTTTGTAGGACCTATCTAGGAGACATCTATGCTATAGCTGCTGACCAGTTAAAAAACTTTAACAGACTGCTTACTTCAAATCTGATGTAGCCTTTCTCATTTACCTGTCTTTGCAGCTTTGGCAGCTGCAATCACAGACACGTGTATAAGACACTTTCCCCCTCAGCTGTACTTTGCAAGACTGGGGTCATAAGGTTTCAGCATCTCTCATTTGGCTCTAATTAAACAAGCAGCTATTTAGACCTAAAAGGAGTACAGTCCACATCTACAGTACACAGCCCAGTCCATGAGTAACAAGCACCATCTGCAAAAGGTGACAGAAAGGTCAACGTTCTGGGAAATCTTAACTTCTCCCTGTATGCTGATTATGCAACTTTTAGACACTGTGCAGCTCAGTGGATTAGGTATTTGGTTAAGTGTGTGGTATTGCTACTGCCTAGAATGGTCACCACCTGGGATTCTCAATTACAGTAATTTGTTGCATTCTGTCAAGTGGAAAGCTTGCACCAGGTATGGTACTGACCATACTTGCAATTTCAGAAGCTTTCTTGGCTCGTCTTATCTCAGGAGTATCTGGACCAACATCCATGCCCCTCCCTTTAATTTCAGTTTCCAGGTCTTTCTTGTATTGTTTCTGTGAAGATAAAATATCATACATTATATTCATGATAGCCAAAGAGTTACAGGTAGATTTTTGCACAAGAGATCCAATTTAAGATTCAGAGTTAATAAAAAATCTCAAGTTAAGAGTCACAATTCTCAAGAGTTTTGGCAAACTTTTGTCAGGAAAACACATAACAAACTACAGGAGGAAAACTTGAGGAGATCATCGCTGAGTGTACAAAACCCTATCATTGAATTTTTAATTTGGCAATGTGTGGGGGGAAATCAGTTCATACAGCTTGTTACAATTATCCTCTAAAGAAAAGGGGAAGTCTAGCTCTGCAGAACACAGTGTAATAAGCTGGTACTTGGTGCCAGCCTAATTGAAACACATTTTACTTTTAAGAAAATATTTTATTTATTAAAAGACTACATGTTAGAAATTTTATACCATACAGAATTGTTTCCAGTGAACTTTCAGAGCAGGAAGTTGTAATTTATTCATTTAATAGGTCTTTCCTGAACCACAGCCATTAGGCAAATGGCAGTACTCATCCATGATTGCTACTTTTTCCTCACAGCATAAATTATAAATAACCAATAACCATGTGATAAATGATTTAGCCTCAAACAGGATTCCAATTAAAGTTTACAGTTTATTAAGTGAGTAAAGGCAAGCAAACAGCGCTGGGTGCGTGGGGATTGAATGTCCTAATCCTGTTCTGATCCCTCAAGCCACACAACGTACAGGTCTCTTTTGGGGTTTATATTTTTTAACTAATACATATTCATGGAATTTCGCAATACGCTTATACATATGCATGACCTATTCCCGCTTCATATTATAATTAGCTCTCCTCCCATCCACGCTTGCGCAGTGTCCCTTGCTGGTGGTCGTGGGGGGGTCGCAGGGGATGTTCTCTTCGTAACCTTTGTTAATTTTTTTCTTCTTGTGTAGACTTAGTTATTTCTTGGCTCTCGCTCAAACCACAGGACCGGTATTATCTCACTTCTGAGGGAGTGTTTTTTCTTTCTGGCGTCTTATGGGTTTTACACAACTATATACTCCATTCTACTTGTTCTCAATCTGTTCTCCGTACAAGGACAGCCAAAATAGTCACAGAGGTCGCATCTTCCCTATGACCTCCACATTATTTTAACACGAATCAGACTGACACATCTCACAACCAGGAAACAAAATGAGTATTTCATCTTCAGCTTATCCAAGCAAGAATATACTTCTTGTTCATCAGCAAATGATACTAAAACATAATACTGAAATATTGTATACAATAGTTGTACTTTTATTAAATAATTAAAAGATTCTCAGGCAGTGTTATTTCTGATACTATAGTAGTAATCATTCTTTTTCTATTCTAGTTTATCTCTGCATGTGGATTTTTTTTCCAAAATAAGTAAATATAATTTTAAAATGTCTTTTAACTTTTCGTATTTGTTGATTATTTTTTAGGTTGTACATTAGTTAAAAAAAGAGAAGGAAAACATTCTTCCACTCAATGCAATGATCACTTCCAAGAACAAGCACAAAAAGACAGTTGTCCATCTGTCTTACTCCGATGTGGAAATAAACATGATAAAACAACTCTCTACTTCACAAACTTCCGTTTTTTCCAAAAAGTGTAAGTTAACCTGTGAGAAGACATCATTTTTCACTTCCTTGCTGTGAAAGATTACACCTATACATTCCTGCACTTGATTACAGTGATCAGATCAGCCCTATGCATTGCATTCCCCCTGGTTCTTATGGCTGTGTATATGTGTGCAAATAAGCCTATATATATACACACATTAAATGAATATAATATGACCCCACTAACAATTTCCATTGACCCTTTAATTGCCTGAAAAACTGAAATATTTGTCGTAAGTTTTTTTTCCCAGAGCTTTTCTATTACATTCATTCTTGGCATTCCTTTTTTTTCCTGGGCTGGAGCAATCCCAAGAACATATACAGGCTGAGTGGAATGGACTGAAAGCAGCACTGAAGAGAAGGACTGAGGGATGTTGGTTGATGAAAAGCTCAACATGACCTCGCAGTGTGTGCTTGCAGCCCAGAAACCCAACAGTATCCTGGGCTGCATCAAAAGAAGTGTGACCAACAGGTCAAGGGAGGTAATTCTGTCACTCTGCTCTCATGAGACCCCATCTGGAGTACTGCATCCAGTTCTTGGGCCTCCAACATAACGAGGACATGGAACTGTTGGACTGAGTCTAGAGGAGGGCCGTGAAGATGATCTACAGAGGCTGGAGCACCTCTCCTGTGAAGACAGGCTGAAAGAGTTGGGGTTGTTGAGCCTGGAGAAGAGAAGGCTCCAGGGAGACCTTCTAGCAGGCTTCCAGTACCTGATAGGGTCCCTAAAAGAAAGCTGGAAAGGGACTTTTTACAAGGGCATCTAGTGATAGGACAAGGGGGGATGGTTTTAAACTGAAAAAGAATAGATTTAATTAGATATTAGGAAAAAATTCTTTACTCTGAGTAGTGAGACACGGGAACAGATAGCCCAGAGTTGTTGATGCCCCATCCCTGGAAGTGTTCAAGGCTGGCTTGGAATGGGGCTTTGAGCAACCTGGTCTAGTGGAAGGTGTCCCTGCCCATGGCAGGGGAGGGTGAACTAGATGACCTTTAAGATTGAGAAGCTGGAGCATGTCCAGAGAAGGGCAACGAAGCTGGTGAAGGGTTTAGTGCACAAGTCCTATAAGGAATGACTGAGGGAGCTGGGGTTGTTTCATCTGGAGAAAAGGAGACTGAGGGGAGACCTTATCACTCTCTACAACTACCTGAAAGAAGGCTGTAGCGAGGTGGGTGTCGGTTTCTTCTCCCTGGTGACAGGACAAGGGAAAACAGCCTCAAGTTGTGCAGGGGAAGTTTAGGTTAGATATTAGGAGGAGTTTCTTTACTGAAAGGTTTGTAAAGCACTGGAACAGGCTGCCCAGGGAGGTGGTTGAGTCACCATCCCTGGAGGTGCTTGAAAGACAAGTAGATGTCATGCTTAAGGACATGGTCTATTGGCGGACTTAGGTCCAGATCAATGGTTGGACTCAATGATCTTCAAGGTCTTTTCCAACTGAAACTATTCTATGATTCTGTGAGTTTAAAAAATATTTAAAAATGTAAAATAAATATATAGATATTACTCTGAAAGAATGACTCCCAGAAGACATTAAGTGCGGCACAAGCTTTGCCTTCCCTCTTCCCTCCCCACACCCTCCAGTCCTGCTGCTGTTTCCCAGGCAGCCTGTGCAAGCTCACCCATGGGAGCTGCAGCTGTGCCAAATTTGGAGCTTGCAGCTCTGCTGAGCACAAGGCTTGCCAAGCACATGAGCTCGTCAGGGTGGTCTTCAACAGATAGTACACAAATCAAGGAGTCTTCCACTTCCAGCCCTTCACAATAGAGTAGATTGCACACTTATGTGCTTCCATGTAACTTTCAGGGCAACTTAGACCAAATGCCAAAGTTAATACCAAAGCTGAGTTCTAAACATACACTCTGGAAGGAACCTCCACCTCTCTATGTGCATCAGATGAACCGTAAGCTCAAGAAAATCAGGAGCAACTAGGTTTTTTGGAAAAAAGTGTTCACAAGTAGAGTAGTTTGTTTGGATAAAAGATCTTCCCAAGATGACTGGCAGTCATTACCAGTATTTATTTTCAGCTAGCAGGTACGTAATTCCAAAAAACTCAGAATTATTCCAAATTATTTCAATTTTATATTACAATATGAATTATACTAGCTGAACAGATAAATACATGGAAAAATGAACCCAGTTTTAAGTGCTTCATCTATTGACACCCTTAACAATTTCCATTGACCATTTAATTGTCTGAAAATCTGAAATACTTGTCATAAGCTGTTTTTTCTTCCAAAGCTTTTCTGTATTCTTAAAGCAAAACAGAAATAGCCTTAGTTTCAATACTTACACATTTCATTGTAGATACGTAAAAATAAATGAAATATTTTCAAGTTGAGTATAACATAAAGAGTGAACTTTCTGTGACATCAATAACCTTGATAGCATAGCATACCTCATTTAGTATCTGAGCTGCATTTTTCACTCTAATCAAATCTGGTGTATCTTCAAACACTGTCATTCCTTTTCCTTTCATCCCTTCTTCTAAATCTTTTCTGTACTCTTTCTAAGGATTAAAAAAAGATAGATATTTCTCCATTTAATATTGTGTGCAAGATCTTGAAAAGAAATGCCACTTATTAAACACTTGATGAGCTGTTTTGAAATTTCTATGAAATATGAATTAGCTGAAGTACAGCGTTTGGAGTTAAAATAGAATTGGAAATTATGAAATCAAAAGGTACAATGTTGAAAAACTGAAAAGGTTTTAATGTGGTCATGTATTTTCCTGTTGTACTCCTGAAAAATAGTCCTCTCCTATACAGCACTAGCATATTGTTCAGGGGCCTCAGCTGCCTCTCTACAGACATTTTAACTGCAGTAGCAGCACTTACTTTTAGAGACTAATATATGCCTTGTTGTAGTTTTTGCCTCTGTACCACTAATGGTATCACAATCAGGATGGATACCCTGAATACTATACTAGGACTTGTTAAATTGACTGCTTGATAAATTGTAATGTAGAAGCAATATTCCTACCATATCACTTCTGTGCCCCTCAGACACTGCATTGATACAATCTATCAAAATTTAGCAGCTGTAGCCTTCAGAGTACTCAAATGTTCAGTATAATTGAAGCACACTAGAACCTGCCCATGGACATTTGGCTCTTTTTCCTCTTCACAATTCCTAAAGAGTTGATGTAAGCCTACTGAAGTACAAGATCTTTAAGTTCTGTACAGACTTTTACTTGTTCTACCCATCTCCAGGCTTGGGTTAGACTTTTTTAAGCAAAGAAACTAGAAAAAAAATTTAAGACTTTTTTTTCAGGATTTCTATAGACATTAATTATCCACGTATTAAATTTTATAAGGAGCAGTCAGCACATTTGTCTCTGTATAAGATTTTATCTAAACAAAAGGAAACAATTTTTTTTAAGGAATCTTATCTTTATAATCAGAAATATGTCCTACAAAAAGCAGGAAATAACTTCTACTAATTTAGAATTATTAAATCCATCTATCTCTTCTGAAAGAGTTGTGAATATTATTCCAGAGAATAAGTTCTTATTGTTACAAAATGTTAAATATTTGCAGAATTCTCTACAGTGGGAAGGCAACAGAATAAGCTGAAACACAACTGACACTTAAAAAAAAAAGTACTCGACCAAACAATTAATAATTAATTTTTTAATATCTCCAGGTTCTTCTTCTTGTTTCACGCAGTATCTATCTAAAGTTGCTGAATCTTGAAAGATAATAATTAATTTGACCTATGTAATCTTTGAGTTTGGAATCTTTTCCTTGAATGTGGATGTGAAATCATACAAAATTAATGCAGTTGTGCATTAAAATACCATTTCCATTTTCTCATATTCTTCCTCTCTGGCTTACAAGCATGGTTTAAGTCCCCAGGTAATGAGTCATAAATCTTGAGGAGGTAAGAATTAGGGAACAACTTAATGTTATAAAGTTATAAAAAGATATAAAAAGTTATATCAAAATTTTCAAAGATAAACATTTACAGCACGTGCAACTATGCATGCACTAACCACTTTTGTGGACATTCAGCATGCAGCAAGATCAACTCAAGGAAATGCAAGCATCTGCATTTTTCCCTAGTCAGCAGTCATATATGAGACATGTACACACAGCATGGTACTGCACAAACTAGACCTAGCTTGAGACTTGTCTGACAGCCAAGCTTATTGGAATAATTTATTAGAGGATGAATAATAAAGAAATATCTGAAAATAAAGTATTTTCTTTACCCATATGAAATCTAGCACAGACTAAGATAAGTTGATTAGAGAACATGGAAAGGAACAGGATTCAAGGGTTTTTAATTCTAGCATCCTCAATTTGTTCATTCAGGCCACAGCAAAAACATCAGTTTTTAATACAATAAATATTAACAAGGTGCTGTTGTCTCACAAATTCAAATGGAGAATATATAGAAGAACTGGTATTTATAACTATGAATTTTGCTGATATATTTACTTCTGAATTTGGTCAAATAGTAAACCTAATCTAAAGAACCAACCAATAATCAAAACTTAACATGAAAACAGTTTTGAATAACACTATAAAAAGACTAAAGATAGAAAGATCTTCAGTTATGGAAAAAAGTCAATTTATAATTCCACAGACAGCTGAAGAACATTGGACAAATCTTAAAGAAACAGCAGGCATACGGAAAACCTGTACCTCCTAACAAAATATGCTTAAAGCAGGTTATGTAATATCAAAGGTATATTATGGAATTTTGGTCATCTTTATTTTTCATCCATAAAATGTATGATAGATAATGATTTCAATTAAATTAGTTAAAAAGTGACTATGCACAGCTCAAAGCATTCATATAATGAATATGAGACTATCATAAACCTGAAATAATTATTCAAAAGGAAAAACTGCCATCTGGACACCAACAGAAATCCTCCTTTCCACCCTTTCATCTATATGGAAAGAAAACTCCAGGTCCTCTCCAAAAAACTATCAAACAGATGTCTTTTGCAGCATGCCTGGAAGGTCACCAAATCTGGGCTATTTGAACCCAGGGGAGGAACAAATTCCAAAACTGAGGCCCTCAGAGGGAATCTCCTGCCAATGATCCATTTTCTACGGAGTCATCAGATTTGTTCATTTAACTCTGGTTTTTCTGGTTCAGGTGTGCTAAGCTTTATAATTTCCTTATGTTCATAAGGAAACTTCAAAAAGTAACAATTCTTACTACAGGACTATTCATAGTATAAAATGTTATGCTGTGATTTTTACTCATGAAGTCACTTTTGTGTTTAGCTACAAAGTTAACTGTAAGCTGTTCAGCACTCAGTAGCTTGCAGTGATGCTGCTTATTGCTCATTTACAACTTAACAACAACAACAAAAAAATCCTCTACCTCTTTCAGAAGGTTAGTGACTTCTTTTATATGCAAAAACTCTGGGGTCTTGTCTAAATCCATTGAGGGTCTTCCCTTGATCCCTTCTTCAAAATCTTTGCGATACATTTTCTATTGAAGCAAAAAACAATGATTAGTAATACATGCCTGTGCATTTCCAAGCATATTTCAGAAAGAACACTGTAAACAGACTGAGAAATGCACCATGCCATAAATAAGTTATCACATTAATAAGCAACTTTATTATTCACTTCATTACCTAGATTATCTATATAAAACACACAATTTAGACAAAAATACCCATGTACAACATCTTCAAAAAACAATGTTTAACCTGATCTATGAAAGAAACAGTTTCTTTGGGTAGAGAAAAGAGAAGAAAAACGACACACAAAGTAATGGTTTTAAATACAGAAAAGTTTCTACCAAGAAGAAGAAAGTATCCGTTTTCCATGACACACAGCAAAAAAAATGGAATCAAAGTGCAGCAAGGGAGTCACAGCGAAATACTCTCTCTCAGGATGCATGGTAAAGCACTGGACTAGGTTGCCTTGGATGTCACAAAACCTCCACCACTGGTAGTTAGAAAAATATGGCATGACATAGGGACAGCCAGTGCTGTTCTGGAGCCTGGGAACAGTCCTTCTCTTGCTGAGCTCTCCAAGCTGAACCAGCAGCAGCACATTTCAGTTAAGGCACAGGGTCAGACTGACTGGGCTTTGCTGTTTCACTCACTCCCACCTGAGAACCCTCCCTCATTAAAGACAGAATTAGAAGCAACAGGCAAAAAAGTTAGTAATCTCTGACCTATATGACCTCTTGAGCTTCTTCTCAATTAAATGATGCTACATACAATCTCTGTCTGGTATAAGCACCAATGGACTTTTGAGAAAAAAACAAATTTGTAGGAAGAACTGAGCTATAGAATACAGCAAAGAGAACCACTCAGTACTAATTCTACCACATCCTCAATTTGTAAAACCTTTATGATCCACTTCATCCATTTTCTTAATCTGAGTACAAGAAGTCTGTTAGCTTCCCTGTTGATCTGAATTTTACTAGCTCAAGCACACATTGTTACTAACCTCACTTTGCATCTTTTGAGCCTCCTTTGACACTTGATACATTGGTGTATCCACAAACTCCAGCATTGATCTGCCTTTAGATTTTTCATAATTCTCCTTGTACTTGACCTGGGAAAATGAAAATAAAGGCTGTTAACAGCTGAGAGAATGTGAGATCTGATTGCTTGCCACAGTGACAGAGAAACCCTGTCTCAGACATACTCCTTAGAGGTTTTGACTTGGGAGACTCCTCCCAAATTTACTCTGTTGGAGAAATGGGGCAGCTAGACAGGGAATTCTTTCTGGACTCATTTATTCCTTTGCTTCCAAATGTCAGACCTAAATATGGTAAAATTTGAAGACTTCTGATTGAATATGCACTTCACATCACAGTAATCTGTCGTGCAGTTTTATGCCAGATTTAATCACTCTTAGAATGCTGCATTTTTCTCTTTGCAAGATGTATTTATAATTGTGTATACCTGACTTTGAAGCACTGCATTTTCTTTGTGATGGATTTGTTCAGCTGTATCCGGGGTGAAATGATAGAAGCCCTTGCTTTGCTTAAATGATTTCTTATATTCATACTGAAACAAAAAATAGCCAAGAATGTTTTCACAAACAAAATCTAGAAGGTTTTGCAATTTAAATACTATTTAAAGTAACTATAGGAGAAACAGCATAAAAGAAACTATATTTTAGGCTTCCCAACTTGGGAGTTCTACTGTTAAATCTGAATTTTTAATATTGTGATGAAATTTTAAAAAAGGATATGATATAAAATAACTTTCTTAAGTTCCCTGAGAAAATGCTTGTCCTGCTCATCCAAAAGTCCAATGTTTATATTTGCTAGAAAATAAGCATTATTTACATTTGAAGCTCAAAAGAACACATATAATGGTCTGGGTTTGCCTCCTAGTGGAAATAATTGTAAATGTCACACAACAAAATCACTTCTGTAGTGAAAACACATGAAAATTATCTCCATCTACAGATACTGATTTCATACATTTACTCCATTCCTCAACTATATTTTTTTTTAAATCTATAAATTAAGTGAAGTAAATTGCATAACCTTTTGCTACACTAAACTACAGGCACAGATTCAGTCTCTTAAGATCTCTTTATTCATCCTGTCCCAGAAAATGAAGCACATTTAAGTTCCCTTTTTTTAGCCTGTAGTTCATTAGCATCACAAAGGCTCTACAATAGGAACAAATTTAAAATGTGCAAAACAATAACCTAGCTGTTGTACGTATATCTAAGTTTTAAATTCTATGTCTCCATAGTTCATGCCAAAGAGAATTACATGTATACCAGATGAGGGGAAAGTTCCACCTTGGGAACTCTCTTCTTCACCAAAATAATGAAGATACAATGAGTTCAACCTCTCAAAATCAGTCTATTTGTGTCCAAACCTGCCGATCAAGCTTCCCACTTAACTGTTGAAATGTATTCCCATGGAAGCTGACTTGTGCAACAGCCTTGCGTTGGTATTACAGTGTATGTGTTTCATAAAGTTGCACACACTACTACACTCTACGTCAATCAGCAAACCAATTCAATCAACGATATTAGTTGATGAGTTTAATTAAACATACAGGTTACAATGTGTCACACCGGGGCAGGTGTTGCTATGCTATGCATAAAGTTCAAGGGAGAGAGGTATACTATAGGGAAACTGTGCCCTTGTGGCCAAGAAGGCCAATGGCATCCTGGGGTGTATCAGGACGGGGGTGGTTAGTAGGTCGAGAGAGGTTCTCCTCCCCCTCTACTCTGCCCTGGTGAGACCGCATCTGGAATATTGTGTCCAGTTCTGGGCCTCTCAGTTCAAGAAGGACAGGGAACTGCTGGAGAGAGTCCAGCATAGGGCTACAAAGATGATTAAGGAAGTGGAGCATCTCCCTTATGAGAAGCGGCTGAGGGAGCTGGGTCTCTTTAGTTTGCAGAAGAGGAGACTGAGGGGAGACCTCATTAATGTTTATAAATATTTAAAGGGTGAGTGTCACGAGGATGGAGCCAGGCTCTTCTCGGTGACAAACAATGATAGGACAAGGGTAATGGACACAAGCTGGAACACAGGAGGTTCCACTTCAATTTGAGAAGAAACTTCTTCTCAGTGAGGGTGACAGAGCACTGGACCAGGCTTCCCAGAGAGGTTGTGGAGTCTCCTTCTCTGGAGACATTCAAAACCCGCCTGGACGCCTTCCTGTGTAACCTCATCTAGGTGTTCCTGCTCCAGCAGGGGGATTGGACTAGATGATCTTTTGAGGTCCTTTCCAATCCCTAACTTTCTGTGATTCTGTGATTCTGTGAAACAGCAAAACTGGGCAACTAGCAAGAAGCTATGTGTTTCAGAGGGAAAAAAACAGACCATGTAATCAAGTCATTGGAAATCAGTTAACAGCACAGTCAGGAAGACTGTTTCATACAGCGGAAGCAGACTTTGAGAAAGATTTGGTGCTGTGGGGAGGCAGAGAGAACAAAAAGAAGGTACTGGAAAAGCATGGAGAAAGGCAGTGGAGTAATCCATGTTAAAATCAAAAAGGTGACATGGGGAGGTCAAATGTGCGAAGGATTTTGAACACAGGATTTCTGTAGAAGATAAACTGTGGAGACCTTAGGGACTGACAAAGCATTCTTCCTCCTGCTTGAAGCAAGAAAAAATATCCACCAGCACCTGAACATCGCAAAAAATAAGAGACTTAGTATTTATGGAGTCTTCAAAAGAGGGCATAGACAATATAAATCAACCCCTCCTAGGCAAAAGAAATAAATAAATTTCGCAAAAAGAGAGGAGCCTTAAGGAAAAGTCCAGGTTTCTACCTCATTAGAGATAAGATGACAAACTCTGGGGGTGTTCATTTAACCAGCAAAAAGAATGCCAATCTTACCTTACACTGAAGGAAACTTCAATTAGGCCAGAATGCACATGAAGAATGAAGGAAGTGAAAGCTATCAGCTCATTTATCACTCATACAAAAGGGGATAATCCATGTTAGCCTCACATATCAGAGTGAGATGGACAAAAAAGCAAGCTTCAATTCACAGAAGAGCAATACAAAAATCAAGTACAGATGAGAAGGATGGATTATTTTGATTATTTTTTACATAAGCTTCCATAAGCAGGCACTGACTCAGAAGATGACCCAGTATTCTACCAGTCATTAGGGCTAATGCTTTGTGGGTGAAGCACTCACCTCCTGCTGACTGTGAGCAATCTCCCTTCCCAACACCCCTCACCCACACCTTTCCACAGCAGTGCTGCAGGCCTTCTGTGGTTTCTGGAGTAAAGATGACACGTGCAGCTAAACAGCCTACAAGCACCACGCGTACAGTATAGGCACTCCTGGAGTGAGAGAGAAGTTTCAGTATTGCACAAAAGCCAGGGTTTTCCTACCTCTTCCTCTCTATTTCAATCTCCACCACTACCTTGTCAGAGCAGCAGCCCCATAAAGGGCCATGTCTTGTTATGTGCCAGAATGGAGTATGTGCCCATTCCCTGATCCAGTGTAGGAAGCCTCAAGACATTGAGGAGAAAAAGAAAAGGCTTAGACAGCGAAACTCTAAGGAAAGCTAGCACTCAAGAGGCTGTTTATGGCAAAGGTCCAAATATTAAACTAGCATAATGGTCACTTCTGCACAGAGACCTGCTGGTGAAAGCAGAAAGTAAGATCTTAGGCAAAACAAGATTTGCAAGAAAGAAGTATCTTTGATCAACAAGAAAAAAACAGGCAAGGTTTCAGACATATAAGAAGAAATCTTCAAGTACCAGAAGTCTGTGTGATGCTTACCCAGTACATTCGTTGTTCTAACAACTCAAATATCTCTTCCTAAAAGCCCTTTTATCTTCACTATATCCCCCAGCTACTATGGTTACAACACTACAGTCTGCTAGATATGAGACCATGAAGCAAGTACCAAATATTTACGTATTCTACAGTTACTATACATACTACATTGTTTACTACATCTATTTTTCAGATCATTCTTATAAAGGAAACTTACATCACTATGCATTTTGCTGATATTTAAAGCATGGTTTAAGTATAGCAGGTTTGGCAGATCAGTGGCTGGATCATGCAGGCTTTCCAAATCTTTCTTGTAATTCACCTGGAAAGAGAATTCAAGTTATGTAAAATAAAGTTAAACAAAATAGTCCACAGCTTCAGATTACAGTGCAGCCATCCAGAAACAGAAAGCATTATGTGCTTGCCTGAACAATCTCTATCAGCCACTAGATGGTGGTCATTTACTATTATTTGGAGGAAAAAGAAAAATCAATAATGGATTCATGCTACTAGGCAAATATTTGGGAACTACTCCAACTTTTCCTCAAAAAGGACACTTAGAACAAAATCACGCACTTTGTATGACTTTTCAGACTAGAAAGGAATTATTAATTTTTGTCTTTCTTACCTCTCCCCCCACCCCTCGAAAACTTAAATCAAGAGTATCTTCTTCAATACTTTAAGTTCAATTATTTTAAACACTGTTGATTCTTGTTCTTTTTCTCTTGATTCAGGAATTACACTAACTGTTCAAATAAAAAGTTGTATATAAAACAGTTTAAGGGAAGTGCTCCTGGATATTTATTTAATATAGATTGCTTTCACCAAAGATAAGCAATACAGTCACCTAAGGAAAAAGATAATCACTTAATAAAGCAGCAGAAGATAACTTCCTATCAGCCTGTAGTAGGATTTTCCATACTGCTGGTAGCTGGATGCTCACCTTTACAGGAAGAAGACTAGCCACCTTACCTATCTTGGATGACAAATCATTTAAACTGATACCTTTAGTTACCTCCACATATGTATCATGCTCTTCACTGATTTAGGCAGACTTCAAATCAATATTCAGTTTTCATATATCTTATAAAAATAATTACTTCAATTATTTTTTTGGAAAAAAATATTTAGATTTTGAAAACAATTACATATTCTGTTGGATCCCTCCCAGAGCCATCCTCTCCTGCTCCCATTCGGTGGTGTCCCACACTTTGGAAACATCGGACTATGAACAAAGGGCTGGTTTTGGCTATCTGGGATCACAGACTCAAAGAAGAGCTCAAATTTTTAGCATCAGACATGCTGTTAAATATATCATTCCAACAGCATCATCACTTAATATAGACGTTTTTCTCCAATCTGGCTCCAGCCGTAGACACCCACTGCTGAATTTAGTAACTGCTGTACTTCGTAATACCATTCAGATGATCAACTGGCAGAATGAAGTCTAAAAGACAGACATACAAATCTCAGCTGCTCATGCAACCTCCTTCTACAACCACTGGAGAGATGCCAGCACTTCACTCCTCTAAAGACAAGCATCTGCAACAGGTCAGAAGAATTGCCCTCGAGACCTGTTTATTTCTTTGCCGATTACAAATGGACTGAGTACAAGGCAACTAGCTCAGAATAAGCAGCCATACCTTTTGACATACAAAGTTGAGTGAGATGAATCTCATCTAAAATGCTTATAAAAAACTCTGCAGGCCCTTGGAGAAAGGTTTTGTCAGAAGCAGAGGAAGAAATGGGTAACATGCTGTATCTGCTATACAGACACACTGTATAGCAGAGACTGCTGCTCACAGTAATTCGTAAGATGGAAAAAGAAATTCTGCTTGAGAACAAACATTAGGTTTTTCAGGATGTAAATGCATGTAAAATATGAAGCAAATTCACTTACATCACTTGCCAAGATGGATGCAATCTGTGCTTGTTTGAAGGAAGCACTGTCAAGAGGATTATATTGGTGGCTCTTCATTTCCTTACTGAACTGTTCTTTGTATTTCGCCTTCCACCAGAACAAACATATCTAATATTAACGTGTAGCATTTAAAGAAGGCACAGAGAATTCAGACTACAAAGGAGCTTATTAAAGGCAATTGCTTTATCCATAAATCTTTAAATAATGAAGATGTTTAAAGAAGCTCAGTTTAGCCACACCTGTGACTGTCTTGCGCTGGTTTCAAAGTAAAAATAAAAATAAAAAAATAAAAAAATAAAAATAAAAAAATAAAAAAATAAAAAAATAATTTTAAGATTGTCATATGTGATTACTGGTGCTGAAGGAAACAGAAACAAAACTGTATGACTCACGTGAGTAACCAAATAAATGTGGTTTTAATGAAAAAACAATTTATAAGATGAATAAATTGTAAAATTTGTAAAATAAATTTTTCAACCACTTGAAAGTGGGGAGTCAGAATCAAGCTTCCCACTTGGCCGTCTTCCCACCTCCAGGTCCAGAAGTCACTCATGCTGTGGTAGGCTGTCACTGGAGCCCCCAGGTCTATTCTTAATTCTGCCAGAAATTTCACAACAGACCCTCAGGATTCTCTCTGTAGCATAATCTCTTCTTGAGAACAATGCCCACCTCATTACAGTGTTAGAAAGCATAATTAAATGACTGTCTGCCATCACTTTCACTCTTTTCTTCTTGTTCAAAAGAAAAAAGGGGAACAATAAGACATGAAAGAGGAAATGAGCAATACATAATTGTTGAGGCAATGGCATTAAAAGTAAATAAATCTCAAACATTTCATAAAACATGCTGAAGAACTGAATTCAGAAACTGAAAAAATTAAATTGAATAAATAGTAAATCTCCCTCCTTTGCCCCCCTTGTTATGCATAATCATCAAACATCTGGAGACTTTGCACACATGTCTTGCTTCTTTCCAACAGCTGGGCATAATGGAGGAGAATAAAGTTCAGTCTGAATTGTGCTGCTTTCATGAATGTTAGTCAGACACCTGATATCTGAGCCTATGCAACATCCATTATAATTTACCACGCTCTGCATTAAATAAATAAGCAGCTTTTCCCTTACTCCTTTTTTCTTTACTCCCACATGAATGTCTAACAAAGTAGTTAAACCACCTCAAACAATCTCCTTCAAAAATTATTTTTTTCTCAGCTTTAGTTGTGGGAAGGATTTTCTGTTTCCTTTTTTGTTTTTCCTTGCCTCAAAAGGCTCTCAACATGGTTTAGCTTACAGAACCTCATTACATTTAGTCACAATGCCCAATATTTCATTAATCAGAATAATAAGAAACCAAAAGTAAACCACCCAAACAGAAACTAACTGTATATGTTCAAGAACTACATTATAATTCCAGCACTTATGTTAATATTTCAAAGGAAGGAAATTCTAAAACACTGTCACTTTTAAAGAGAAACTTCAGCTAAACACAAAAAGAACTTCATGATCTTTCACACTAACTCTAGAAAAGAATATCTATTGCCCTCTGGTAGATTCATCTGGTTCATATTGTTTGATATTTGCCTTGGCTTTGGATCAAGTGCAAAAGCGTACATACGAATACAAAGACACTGCCTTTGTCAAAGGCAAATCCACATTCTGTATGAGCAGTGAAGAAATAAATCAGAGGGCTTTTCTCTTTTAAAAGGTGTATCCAAAACTTGCCTTCTAATAAAAACCAGACAGTGCTAGAATATGTGCTCACATCACAACAACATCGTGTGCCCAAGAGTTTAAATATCCAACTATTACAGGCTGTCTTCTGCCCAGCCGACAAACGGCCCCAAACTGTGCATGTGGACTGAATGCACAACATGGTCCTTGATATTCTTGTTAAGTGTGAAAACATCAGTGCCAAACAGACCTCACTTCACAACTGGCTTGCTATCTTCCAGCTGCAGATTTTTTTATTTTTTTTTTTTTTAGCAATACATTTCAATCTAGAGACTCCAGTAATAAATCCTCGTTAGTGTCACTTTAGATCACATCACTGCTGCTGAAGGAAAGAGGGGGGGCAGTGGACTCAGACTTCACAGGGCTGTGTCCCCTGATGCTGATGTGCAGGAGGGACCCAAATTTAAGGAAACCGCCCACCAATCTGACTGTAAACGTTTCTGTTGCAGTGAGGGATGTTTCGGTACCTCTAGGTCCTGCTGCCTGGTCTGGCTGCTCTGCTTATTGCCTTTGCTCCCCTCCCCGACACCACCGCACATGTCGCTCTGGGGCAAAATGGAGGCCACACAATAATATCAGATGACCCTGCCAGTATCTCAAGAGCACTTCCAGCAGTAATTTAACTCTGACTTGTCATAGGGGATTCGTCTCATTGAAAGCTACACATGCATTCACTTTCTCTTTTATCAGTATTTTCCTGTTTCTTTCTCCCTTTTGAAAGCAAGCGTGGGGTGTGAGAGAAGAAGAGCAAGCCCATGGATGAGTCACTGTGAAGTAACGCACACAGTATTTCTCCTTCTTCTGAACAGGAGAAAGTTATGAATGCAGTTTAAAGGGGGAAAATATGCCTGAGAGAAAGGGTCCTGATTAAAAACAAGGAAGAAAAATACTTCATCAGTGATTTCTAAAACATCTAAAGGAGGAAGGTCTTAGCAATGCTATAAGGTGATGGAAAAACAAACAAAATGTGGGAGGAGAAATGACAGTTGTTAGCAGAAGCTTATCTACAAATTTCATCATTAACCAAAAGCTTTACTTTAATGAGGTTTTAAAAACCATGGCTACTTATTTACCATCTTAATTACAGTCTTACGTTTGTTTATTTTTTTTAGAGAGTATGTAGTGGGGGTAATTTAAAAGAAATGCATGGAGGCTGCTTTCTAATTGTTGCTGAAGAAAGAGCAGATTTTGCAGGCTTTTAACACAACATCATCCCTGAAAAACCAAACTAGAATTAAATAAGGCCTGGATAAACAAACTTCTCATCGGCCTTGCACAAAACCTATAAAAGTCAGAATTACAGCTGGACAGAGCAGTGTCTTTTGAAGCTTTGCAGCAACATTCCTAAATCAAATCTGTAGTTCAAAGCTGTTCACACTGCTGAACTGAGTGTTCAGTTTCAGAAGTGGATGACATCACCCACTGTTCAGATTTACAAAGAAACTACAAAAATTGAATCATTCAACCACTAGGATCACAGAATGAAGCAGACACTTGCGGCTAAAGCATTTCCTCATGACCATATGAAAACATATTAAAAAAAAAACAACTATCAGAACACATAGATATTGAAGGAAACCTAACATAAACAAAGAGCTGAATTAAAATACTGCTAAAAGCACTAGCAGAGTTTAAAGCAAAGAATGGCTAAGAAAATCTTTGGCTTTTTGTGTTGTTACTGATAATCTCAGAGAAGGTACATTTTGAAAAACTTTCTGCCTCTAACAATTTTATCCCTGAAACAATAAGCACCAGATCCAGCATAAAACACCAATATCCAAAATTATTCATCACAAAACCTACTATTGAATAACATAAGGGGAATACCTCAAATCAGCAGCTCTTTGAAAAAGCTAAAATGCATTAGAAGACATAAACAAGAGCTTGTTTATATAAGAAATACAAAAAATAAGCTAAATTATACAATGTACATTCAGCAAATTGACAAGCTTCATGTTTTCACAAAGACTAACACAGTTTCTGTTTTAAATTTGGTTTAAAACCAACAGAAAGGTGTTACCACATGCTGTGGATAAATATACTAGTCCTGGGAGCTATTATTTTTGCCTCTGCTGTTGTCAAAAGCTTTGTTAAATTAAAGAAAAAAAAAATAAAGAGGAGGGGGAGGGTGTACACTGATTTTGTAGAGCCTTGAGTGCCAGTCAAACATTAACACTATTTTCTTCACTTTGTTTGCCTTCCTGCTTGCCTTGATTGCTTTCTCCCTTCGTTACACCCACACTGCCTGACCTCTTCTTGCTCCTGTTCCCTATACTCCCTAAATTACCTACCCATATGCACCACATTAAAACATGTTATCATCTTCTCTTCTCATTACATCCATCAGAATTGTGAACTTTGCAAATTTACTGTGAGGGTCAAATAACTAATATTTCTCTGCATGTAGCAGCTTATAGATTCATGCTACTACAGGAGATTATCAACTTTCAGCACAAAAGGTTTATAATGCTCCCATTTGCTGAGAAACAAATGGAAACCCTAAAAGCCAGAAAGTCTGGAGACAATAAAGAGATCATTAACTTTACTATTTTTTAAATCTTGTAATTGTTACAAGCCTGCTTCACGATCCTTGGATGAAGAGGACTGACATGGCTGACCCACATTTAGGGTTCTTCCTCTCCTACAGCACAGGTGCATTCCTCATCCTGCCCCACCACCCTGCTTTTTGGACACAGGGGTCATCTTCATTTTTCTGTGCTCTTGATTTATGATCAGTGTGTCTAAGTGTTACAATGATTCAAATAATATATAAAAACATTAGACAACTCATGGCCACTGCCTTCCCTTCAGAGAAGGTGGGGAATTGCTGAGTGTATCTCCCCGCTGCTGAAAGCAGCCCGGTATTTGCAGCCTCCATGGTGCTGTGTGCAGATGGCTGGCAGTGGAGCACCAGGCTGAAGCACTGCCTCTCTTTCTAAAAGTACAAGCCTATCACACACCCCACAAGCAGCCACAATAGTATAGACTGAGGAGAGGACAAGAGAAGGAAGAATCCCAAAACTTGGATCCAGGCCCAGTGGCCGCAGAATTTGGACCACCAAGGTTTATTAAGACTCCTCCTTACAAATAAACTGTAAGCAAGCTACATTTTGTCAACTGCTCCTCTCTTACTGCCACACCTTCTGCATTATCTGTACTCTCTAAAGAAGTTAAAATTGCACACCAAATGCTCTCTTCTGCAGAAGGATCCCAACTGGAACTGCTGCCATCCCAGTCTCTGGCATTGAAAAGACTCTATTACAAAGCTTTTGCAGATGGAGCATGCATTGTCCAAGAGGAAAAGCACATCAAATAAAAATGAGATAAAAAGTGCATTGATGAAGCCTATGATGCAGCTGGCTGAGCACCAGTCTGCAAGACCCCCTGATCCAGCTGGTATTTTTCGATTGTTGGTCACAACCTCAAGGGTACCAGGCTTAGTGAGATGGAGAGTGCTATTAGAAAGGGATCCACTTTGGTCCCATTCACAACGACAGGCAGATGCAAGCCCACTAGATTCTGAAACAGTCTGCAAGAAAATGAATGTGTAGACAGCCACAAAGTAGAAATAAAAGATACCACACACTGAATTTAGATAGGAACCCTTTTAAAAACCACTCAAGATGTTTGCTAAATGACAGACTTTCCTTAAGTGACAGCAGCACAGCACTAGCTCTTCCTAGAAAGCACAGGGTGACTTCCAAGCCTGCACGATGCTAAAAACAGAAGAGTTTCTTAGCAGGTTTACCCATCAGCAGAGGAAGGAGCACAGGATCTGTTATGAAATGGAAGAAAGAATTCTATTTGGAAAATACAAACTAAATTTGATTCTGAGCACATCATTAACAAAGCAATAAAAACACACATATTTTCTTCTTTTTCTTTTTGTGCAGAATTAATGATGGTCCAGTGTGAAACAGGAAATGATGCAGCAGATATCTAAGGACAACGTTTGGTGACAGCAAAAGGAGCTCAGCCTCTTGCAAGCAGACACTGCACTGTTTTGCAGCTTGTTCTCTATGAAGCATTATTCTCATTTCATCCTAGTTCTAAAGAAGACATCTACTATCTAGCCAAATCACAAGTATTTGTTACACAACACTGATTTTCAGACTGTTCAAGACCCCTTTACTATGCTTGGGTTTTTTTTCTAGTTCTGGGAAGACTGACATGGCCTTCTCCAACCAAAGGGCATTACCCTCCTCCTACAAGAGGGCAGAATTTGTTCCTGAGTTTTTGAAAAGCTCTAAAGTGTAGCCTGACAGGATTACTAGCGAGGATTATGCAAGGCACTGTTAAAGAACTACTCCAGAAAATGAGAGGGGGAACAGGTCAGCAGTCAAAACTCCCTCCTCACAATGTCACGCTGATCTGTAGTAGAGTCTTATGAGTTGAAGACTCATAAGAGGAAAAGAGGCAATATTTGTGTTTTCGGCTTTCTAAAAAGAACTAAAATGTTATGGACTAAAGTAATCCCTCCGTTCTTCTTTTGTTGTTTGGTTTTTTTTTCTTTTTTTTTTTTTAGGTTAATATATAACAGAAAACAGTACATAAAAGGTTCAGTTTCAGAGGGAGAGAAGGCGGGTGGTTTACATGTCAGGCCAAATTAAGATCCCATTACTCACATTAGAAAGCAGTTACACAAAAGACCCCAGTTACTTCAGTGGGATTAATCACAGGGTAAGGTTCCACTCAAACTGAATGAGTAGCAAAATTTGTCTCTAAGTTACATTCAGTTAATATTTTAGAAATCCTAGATAATCTGCATAAATATACACCACCTCCATAAAAGACAAGTTGTAACAGTCAAAGTTCATTGTATTTTTGCATTAAAATGTATATTCTGTATCCTAAGAATCTTAAATTTACCAGTCATTGCAATACTGTATGAAAAGAGTTTCAGAACATAATCTTCATGCAATTAGAGATAATAATCTAAAAATCTAAATATTTTCTTACATTACTAGGAACAAGATATCTGAATGAAGTCATTGTAAAATGACAGAGAATCTTACTTGGCTTAACAGTTTTGAAACTCCTTTAGCATGTTCAAAATCTGGTCTTCCAAGTACAGCAGGCTCCTTATTCATCTCTCCCCTTCCTTTCTTGTATTCAGCCTTAAAATAATTTAAAATTAATCACTATTACATTGTTTGGGTTTATTTTATCAAGAGAAATGTAAGTATTAAAGCTAGTGGAAAACACCTCATTTAGTGATCTGCACTGACTCTGCTTTCAGAGTGGTTCTAACCAGCTCTGAAAAATAAGTCCTTCTTGGGCTTCAGCTCCTTAACAACATAACATTTATTTATTGCAAGACGCAATGCACAGCATTCACGAAATTCAACTTTAACCAAATGCATAGCTTAAGCCTGAGAAATAATGTTCTCCCAATCGAGGCAGAGTGAGTTACAGTGGCCTGGCATTTCTTATGACAGGGTCTGCAGTTTACACAAGATTATTTGTAGTAGCTGAAACTAGTCTTGAAACAAAACTAGGCTGAAGGGCAGCTTTTTTGAAATGTAAGGTCAAATTCCACTCTCGGTTTTAGCACTGCAACCTTGCTGGATGTCAGTGAGGTTGCACTAGTGTAACAGAGCGGAATTAGTCCCACAGGGCTGGTGTTACGTGATCTTTCCAGCTGAACTGCCTCCCATGCAAATTGCTGCAATTTTTTTCCACAGTGCATTAGAAAACACAAATGAACTGACAATAGGTGCTTTGCGATATCACGAACTAAATTACCCACTGCCTGAAATAGGCTTCTTGCATTACTCAGGCACTGTGAATCAGCAAGGACACGTCATAACAACAGACTGAGAGAAATAGAAGTCCCAAAGCCACTCTAACTCAAAGGAGTCTTGAACAGCAATGAGTAGATTTGGGTGTTGAACATAAGACTTAGTAGAAGTTCTTGGTTTTCAGAAAATCCTGAATATTCAAAAGGTGAATCTCAGGTCTCTTAAAAATGTCTCTCCATAGGTGCCTAGTCAGTCTTATAAGAAACTATTAGCAGTTACTTAACATTTTAGCTCAGGGCTTTTAACTTTTATATATATACATAGGACTGTCTACAATAAAATATTAAATTGCATCACACGTTGCTGCTTCTCAAACTGCTCCTTGACCTATCCATTAGCAGATGTCACGGTGGGAGGGAAAAGAATTTGAGAGGGGAGGGCAGGGCAGCCCCCATGCAAGAGGCAGCGTGTTTGCACAGCTCTCAGAAGGACAGCGGGAAATTGCATTTCCCTGTTGCTGCCAGCTGAGATGGGAGGAGGAAAGGGAGTCCTGGGATGTGAGCTTCTCTCGTACTGAGGTGAAAAAAAGCTTCATATGTCTTCTGAAGTGCAGTACGACCATGACTTATTTTGAGAATGGTTATCATGAATAAAGCTGAAACAAAACCAACTTTAATAAGTTTAACAATGTCTTTAGATCAACTGCAAAGGTCTTACTGTCAACATCAAAATAGAAGAAACCCGTGACTTTGCAAGGGGTTTTTTGTTGGGTTTTGGGGTTTTTAAATCAAACTTCCACATCAGATTTGGGGTTGCAGGTTTTCTGCTTATGACATTTTAGAATTTCAGCAGCATTCTAAACAATCTGACTAAAATCTGAATAAATAAAATAATATATCTCAAAACCACAAACACAGTAACAGGAGAACATACATCACTTATTAACTTTGTTATCCCAGTTGCTATCTTTATGTCTGGTCTGTTCAGCACTTCAGTATATCTATGAGTATCTTGCACATCCTTCTTATAGGATACCTGTGAAACAAAAAACAGTTTTGTTTAAAATAAACAAAAACAGTTGAAGTTTATAAATAATCTTTGAATGACATATGAACTCAGCTATCAAATTCAGTAGAACTCTGTCTAATTTATTCTAACACAGTCCTGCTTGACAGGGATTACGTAGTAAGAGACACACACAGGTTAGCAGGAAAAGGAAAAAATTCAGAAGCATAAAATACAATATTAAAATGAAAAATGGCTTTGTTTAAGAGGTAGTAGAAAATGAAAGCTCTGCATAGACCCAAGTATTAAGTTTTAACATTAAATTTCAGAGGTCTTCTAAGAGTACATCATTTTTTTCTACTCCGTACCATTTTTCAATATAAACTAAACCCCACTATGATACTGAGCATGCAGCCTCACAGACTGCAGCTACACTGAACAGAAACTGCAATTCTACCACGGTGAATGTCTACCTCAGCAATAGGCAGGCATGTAGCTGATCTGTAATTCGATGACACAACTCCACACCAGCACCCCTCACTCCCCACAACTGCACTTATCTGCTCCTTTACACAATCACAGGAACAAGAAAGCTGAGTGTTCCAGTATGTGGAGTCGGAGACTGAATCCTTCTGTTTGTGGAAAAACCACTACTATAATGAATGGGCTCAAAAAACTTTGGCCAGAAGGCTAAACCACAGGTAGGAGATTCCAAACATTCTCCATTTAGCAAAGCGATCGTAGGAATAGAATAGGCCTCAGGGACATATCAGAGCTCCAAGACCACAAGTTATCCCTCTTCTCCCTCTTCAGAGTCTGTAGACTTTTTCCTCTCCCTTGCTGTAGCACATGTGCTAATCTAAGCCAATTTCCAAGAGCTGTCTTACTGAATTATTCTGAATGATTAAGAAAATCATCCCTGGTATTCAACAGTGTCCAAGGAATGGAAGTTCCACGCAGAAGTTAGAAAACACAAAATAAAGACTACAGGAAGCAGAAAGTATGAGAAAAATTCCTGATTTACTCAACAGTTTTTTAGATTTTCTTCTGTTGAAGCTTTACCTCCACATCTAGCTCATATTTCCAGTGTAAACTTTTACTCTGGGTACAATGCAACAAACCCATAAACTGCAGCACCCAACGACAAATATAATTTGTAGAAATGTTATTGCAAAAAGAAAAGGAAAAAAATCTTACTTTTTGGCAAATATTTTACAGGCAACAGGAAATTAATTTTGTATCCATATGGCTTTGGCTAAGTAAACAAGCTAAATAGCCTTCACCATTGGCCACTGGCCCACAAATAGATCTTATAATTTTTAACCTACAGTGAGTTACACACAAGCGTAATCACTGATAAAATAAATAATAAGTTGGATGAATACAGCCCAAAGTAACACCTACCAAGAAAATAGAAACTGTTTCTTACAGATTGTTAAAACTGCTGGAAGTTTTGTTTTGGTTAGGTTTAGATTTCCTCTATTTTTTTAAGAAACTAGATGTACAGACCAGCATTTGCAATTCAGGGCTTTACATGAATTTAGTTAATTATATGCTGTTCATCCTAATGACCACATGAGGTGAGGTGAAAACCACAAAGGCAGCAGAAACAGGTTTCTGAATAGCACCCTATCATCCATGTAAATTGCAAATTAAAGGCCAGCATATGTGCTCAAAATAGAAATTAGGAATGGAGTGAATTTAACAACAGAGAATCAAGAATAGTGGTGATAAAGTTGAGGAAATGTGGTCACTTATTGCTTCCAAATGGCATGATCATATAGTACATTAAATAATGGATAGTGGTTAATTTCAGGGGGAAAACGGGGGGTGGGGGAAAATAAGACAGTGACAGTCCTTTATATTTCACCATTTTCAATAATATTAGATGCAAGGCCAATTGCTATAGCTTTCCCTGAGTGAATTATTATTCTTTCTGCACCTAAACCAGTATACCTATTACTTATGTTTGAGGGAAAGTCATCTAGCATTTTACAAATGTCTGCAATATATATTTGCTCCATTCTGCAGCTTGTCATACTCCAGTGAGAATAAAAATGTTATGCAGCAGAACAGTAGTTTGTCAGAGGTAGGCCAAAGAAAGAAAAAATATGTTTCCCATTTCCTGAATAACCCCAATCCCTGGATGCTGACCCTTTCCCATCAGGTCAGTGTGCTGGCCTCTATTACACAGCTGCTATTCTGTTCCATCCACTGATTCTTTTTATAGTGCTATGTTAGAACACTAAAACCAGAGCGATTGCTGGAGAGCAGGGGAACAGATGTAAACAGGGCAAAGCAAACAGCCTGCTGTGTGCACCCATGGGCATCGAGAAGATGGAAAGTGGAAAAGCCTGCGAGAAGACAAAATGAAGCCTGGTCAAGCAACAAAAGAAAGGAAACAGCAGAAGCACCCAAGGAAGGGGACATCTTCTCTCCTGCATTAGTTCAACCCCTTACCAAGAGGCTCAAATCCTGACTGGGACCTCCAGGCATTACACAGTGACCTTGCTCAGTCTTCACTTCGAAGGGCTACTCAGGATCTACCACAAAGACCATCACCGAAGGCTCAATAATTAATCCTTTTTATGAGGACCACAGGTCTATGAAACATCTGCACAAACTGACCTTTGCATAGGAAAAAGTAACTGAGACAGTATACTGACAACTTAAGAGCAGCAGTGGAAGACCTAAATGGAGAGTTACAGCAGATCAGTGGGAAACGTGAGCAAGAAAGAAGCTGGGACAAAAAGGGAAAAAACATCTACCTAGTTGTGAAGTTGCAAGCAGTAATTTACAAATATTAACTAATCTTAGTTTTTCTACCCCAATTTGAAATTACAATTAAAAGTGATTACATTGTCGAATTATTTTTTTTTAAATGATAATATGAACAAAAGCTTTTTCTTGTCTTTGATCCCAAACGTGGTTACATACTCTGAATTGCCAGTAGTTTTTGCAAAGTGTGGAAAATAGTCAGGGCTCTGTCATAATTAGTAGAGTAATTGTAATTGGGCCAAACCTCCAGCTCTTATAAAAAGGCATAAGGTCCACTGAGGATAAACGTGCCTACTTACTCCAGCTGAGCATTCTGAAGATGCTTCACCTTTCATCATGGTGCCAGTGCACTGGAATGCATTACAGTGCTACAAAGTAAAGAGATTTCTAACAAGGCTGCAAAACATCTCAGGTTATCAATCAACACACACGGTGACTCAAGCACACCTAGCTTTAAAGGACTCAGACCTTTCCTGCAGTCCTTTGCCTTCTCCCCTATTCAAATTCCAATACTATTCCAAATTATAGGTAGTAAATTCTTAAAATACGCACAAGCAGCTATGAACATACTTTGCCTTCTTGAGATGCACTCTCAGAAGTCAGGAAGGAGCTGGGCACACCTATCTGCAAGACAATTTGTCTCTCACTGTTCGTCTCTGCTTAGTATTTTCTAAGAGCTGCAAGTCCACTAACTAATGGCCTGCCAGCTGTGTCTCTGTCCCTTTTCCTCTCATCTGCACTTTGGGGTCCATCAACACTAAGAAAATGACTAGCTGGTGACAATCATCACTGGCAACAGCTTTTCTGATCCCCACTCAAATGGTGTTGAAAACTGTTTCCCGGCTTGCATAGAAGAGAAAAACACATTTCTGGCCCATTACAGATTGATGCAGTCATCCTTTCCAGTAATGGGCTTGAAAATTGATTGGTCCCAATTACATCAGGAGTAAACACATCATTTTCAGCACCAGTTGGAAGTGGTCCAGTGGGACCTGCTGTTGACAACCACTGTCAGCAGAAAGTTAGACAGTGAAAGGTGATTTTTCTAATGCAGATGCTGAACAGAGAGCCAGGAGGAGCTTGAGTTTAACATGATCTGCATCAAAACAAAAACTGACATTTTGGTATGTTATTGATGGTGTTCAAGCACATCAAGTTTAAGATCCAATGGTCTGACCTTATCAGAAAGCACATAAATTTTTTTTGTGAATTTTGACTGCACAACATCCTGAACATGAAAAAAGCTTACTCCTAAGACAATACAAACTTGTTAAATATTCAAATTTATATAGTCAGTGAAACATTATAAATTACTGCTACTGACATCATATGGACTGCCAAAAGCATACATACACATCAAAAGTTTGCACAACTGTCAAGTAACATTTTAAAAGCAGCACTGTTTTGTACATAAGCATAAGTTAAAAGATGCCAGGGTTTCAACCTCAGACCCACAAACTGCCTTTTAAACGTCCACAGATGAGTCTTTTGCAGTTTTCTTATTTGTAAAATTAGAAGACCAATTCTTTATTTCATACAACGTAATGCTGTGAGAAGAATCAATAATTTTAACCAAGCAGAATATATATAATGTTGTACAAATACTTAACATTGTTTTGCTGTTCATAATGTCCAGTGATGAATCAGGTCACAGAACAGATAAAACTGTGATCTATAGCTTTGAGAACCTTCATCAAATGCCACGTGCAGCTTTTACCCAAACACAGTACGGCAAGTGTCTTCTTTGGTTTAGACACTTAACTGTCATGTCATTTCACTGTTCAATTACTTTCTTCCACCCATTTGATCCTCAGCTACACATAAGGCAAACCACTATTTTGTGACCTGTTTTCTAAGGGCCACCACCTCATTTTAGTCCCAAATTTGGAAACTTCCAGATGAGCTAAATTATATCAGCTGAGCACAGGCATAAAGTAGGCTGATGGTCCCTACTTCACTCTTCTACAAATGCCTTTGCATGCCAAAGTCACATCATTAAGATTCACTCCACAAAAACAGAAACACAACTTATAGAGAAAAGTACTCTGGTTTGGATAAACATGCATTCGTTCAAGCATTATGTAGTATTTAAATTATTTTTCAAGTAAATTCCCTATCATTATAAAAGTCACTTTTGTTCTTTTGAGAGCAATTTTATTCAGTTCTAAGTACGAAGAAGAGAAAAATGTTTTTCTCATATATGATCACATAGTTCAGGAGATTTTACAGTATTTCCCTATTATGCAGCTTCAGCCCACGCTTATACAGTGTGTTAATGACATTCAAAGTGGTGTGAAGGCCTACAGCACATGACAGTTTCAAAATGTCAGCGCAAATGTATTGTAAGTTGAATACAGTCTTAATTTTTAAAGGAAATTGCACATTTCACAGAGTTGAGTATAAATGTCAGCCTTATTTTAAGGCTGAGTAAATAGCCTTAAACACATCCTAATCCTATTAGATGCAAACCCTGCTTGTAAAGGTTGAATGGAGTTGGCAGAGCATTGTAGATAAACATGCATTCCGCTCCCATAGGTATACTGTACTGCGTGGTGGATAGAAGAGCTTTGTCCTTCTATTCCCCCAGTAGTTTCCCTCCTTTTTCCCTGCACTTTTAGAGCTCTGATTCTACAAATAGCCTGAAATAGTTCAGAAAGACAAATGTTCCATATTTGGGATGCTCACTACTCCATGCTCTGACTCAAAGATGAAAACTCATGCGGCTCTTAATTAAACCTGTACTTAAAAAACAAAAAATTTGCAGCTATTCTCCATACCCAAACAACTATCCGCAGGAGCTGTGTAACTCAGCTGAACAAGAACTGGACTTACATAACTTGCTCCTTTATGTGTGATAAAGATATATCCCCATTGCACTGTAGCTCCCCATGAGCAACTGAAAAGAATGTTGTTAAACAGATAAAATGAACTGGTTAGAGATTTATGTTGGATACAGAGGGTTTGTTTGATTTTTTTCAAGTTTGCTCAGGCTGAAAATTTCCTTCATATTTTTTCATTATTTTTAACATGCTATTAAAAGTTCTCATTTATCAAAATATCCTTCCCTCCTACATTTACCTTAATTTCCTTTTTTTTTTTTTTTGCTTGCTTTAAGGGTGAAAGAAGATGAAACAACTGAATTTAATTTACTCTCACATCTGCATCCTGCTCTCTTTAATTCTGTTACCAGGTGATGTACAGCTGTAGAAGGGGAATAGGTTTTGCACTAGCATACTAATCCTCAGACCATGATGAATTTGAGTCAAAATCTCGTCTCATATTCCTCCTGGTCCCATCACCTCCTCTGAGAGGGATTCCCATCCCTCTTCCCAACATTATTTCCTTCCCTAGTAGTCCATCATGATTGCTGTTGCTTATGGGAAGAAAAGTTCATATTCCCAGCTCCTACGCTCTGTCAATCTGACATCCTGATGCTTCCAATAGCAGAGACAGCCAGAATTCGGGAATTTTTTAATCAAGGCAGGTTGCAAATTACCACTGGGAGCTCCAATGCAGGTATTTCCCAGCAGAAGAAAAAGTTATTCTTCAAACATAATGCTTCCCTGAAGTTTTCCAGCAGCCTTTTAATCAGCGGCCAGCTGTCAAGATTCTGCACACACGGACATATATCTAACACTGACATTTAGCTTTCAGCCTACCTAACCTAAGAGTGTTTGTTATACTGTCAGCAGGGAAGATAGGATAAATGTAAGCTAACTCAAAATGAACACCTAAGCTTCATTTTCTGTATTGTTAGCAGCAAACAAATATCCCATTTATCTGAGAAATAAGAATTATAAAATCACATATCTACCTGACTTGACTCTCTTACCTAAGAAGAATGGAAATAGATCATAAACTTAAAGGTATTTAAATCAGCTGCTCTTACTGGTTTTGTGTACTCTTTAAGGTGAACTCACTATTTTAGCCAATCTTCTCCTAAAATTTACTTTTCTTATAAGTAAGCTTTTACAAAACCTAAGACATTTTTCTTCTGAGCTGTGTTTGTCTAATTCAAGAGACTAATCTTGGTAGTAATAATGGTGCATTGAGCTAGTATAAGCTAGCTCAACCATGAAACAAAACCTGACTTGAAACTAATGAAAAACATAAATGCTATTGTTAGGTTTTTTATATTGTGAAAACGTAAACTTCAAGAAGTTAACGAGTAGCTGTAAAAAAAAAAAACAACTCCACACACTTAAAAAATATTGCTAAATACTTAAATCTATCCGTAAATTATTTAAGTAAAACTACAAGAACAAATACTTTGGTCGATGGCATAAACCAAAGCCAGGCATCAAACTGAACTTTGTGGCTCAGATTCTGTAAAATAAGTCATCAACTGTTCTTTGGAACTCGTTTGATATGTACTCACGAGAAGGGATCAAAATTATTCATGTGCATAAAAGTGTGGAAGAGCAGGGCAAAAATATCCTTTTTCTCTCTGAATAGAACTCTCTAAGAACTACCCAACTGTTGACAGTGCAAGACACTGAAACCATGCTGGTGTTCATGTAAACAAAGAGTTTTATACACTTTGTAAGTACAAGTAGATACACATGAATTCAGATAGCTTTTCCTCGTAATTTTATTTCAAACTGACAGCACTTAGTAACAATTACTACTAATAAATAATAACCGTTTTCCAACACCGTTTAGAATAAAAGTCACATACCATTACTCACAGCATATTTTAAACACACATCATGTCCCAAATTACTGCAGAGCAAAGAACGTAAAAAATAGCAGCTAATGAAATACAAAAAGATTCCATACCGAGTTCATTTCAGTTAGCTATAATAGATGTATCTACCCAAAACAAGTGAGCTAATTTCAGATGGAGGAGTACTTACACCACTCTGGTATTTATTGACTTCCATGGCATGCTTAATATTTGGGGGCTCCTTCATATGTGCATAATCTGAAGTTCCTTTCTCAGCATCATGCTTTTGTTTATAGAGAACCTGAGAAGAGCAACATTATAATTCTGTGACCTCGGCAGAGCAGGTATAATAATAATAATAATAACATGAGCTGGGTTAAACTTAGCATCATAGTGCGCCTGTATTTAGGAAGAAGTGTAATAAATAATTAACCTCCTTAATGGAACCAGAACCCTGAAACAAGAGATTTCTCTGAGTCTGTTACTGCAGCAGAGGTATGAGTAGACAAGAGGAAGAGAAAGAAATATACAGAAACAGAAAATGAACCTTAACAATGTGAGAAGACAGCCCAGGGAAAAGCATAAGGGGAAGCTTTTTTTTTTTTTCCTCAAAACACACTTCAGTCTATCAGCTAAGTAAATATTTCCTCAGGATTCTTTTATCCTCTGTTTTCAATTTCTGCGCATTCCTCAAATAAACAGGTTTATATTAAATACTCATAGCCCAAATATCTATTTCTTCCACTGTTAGGAAATTACTAGCACAATACACATTTTGACTAGCCCCCAGGTACACAAAGAAAAATAATATTTACATTCAGTTGTCATAATGGTAGAAGAAAATGGAACTGAATTGTGAGTTTATAAACAAATTTATTTTTGTAATAGAAACTGAGCTCAATGTTGGGCATTCATCCAGCTTTCACTGTACTGTGTTATACTTACATATACACACACTCATGTACTAAAACTGCCTGAACAGCTGATCTTGCACTTATCCTTGTCAGAAGCTTTTACACTTATATTAAGAAAATTCACCAGGTTTTGATGCCTGAAGAAGCAGGAAGCATCAAGTAAATTCATTTTCGAATAGCTCTCAGGAGCAAGCGTTAATATAATCCCCAAGAAAACAGCAAATACTAAATAAGATTGAAAGCTGACCAGGAGGAGAAGGATTTGAAACTAAAATCCTCAATAGCAATAAAAGAATACTGTGAAAGTTTTGAGATGGGAACTCTTGACTACGGTGATTCGGACTCTTTTAGGACAGGATACTAGAACTGTGAGAAAATGTTATATCTGTTTGTGTTTAAGGCAGCAAGACTGCATCTGAGTCAGAGATCAGGGCGCCCAAGGCAATATACTAGTATCTGCCTTGACTATCTCAGATTACAAAATGATATATAGGCTGAGAGATTAAGACAAAAAGGGTGGTGGGGTTTTTTTTGCACTGCTACTATATGAATGAAAGTATCAAATTAGAAAACTTAAAATGCACCATCTCCTTACACAGTGTAAATCCATCACAATCAGGCCCCTGGGGAAACAAAACACAACTTAAATGGAAACAAAAAAATGTCTGTAACCTTCCTATACTGATTACATCTTGCAACTGGCAAAGCAAATAATCTTTAACAAGACTGAACCATCACTAGCAAATAATCCCCTGCAAAACTGTAATTACTATATAAACATACGCCACAAAAAATCTTTTGCTACCTCTCCTGCTTTACATTATCACTTTTAAGACTTTTAAGTTCTGCACTTAATAGCATTCTGAAAAGCAGATCCGTACAGATACTTCCAAAATCTACTAATTCACAGGTATTCTGTTAGATTGCTACTTTGCTGGTTCAACATCTATATTTTTCTGTTGGTGAATGGGCTATGCAATCAAGACACAAAAAAACAAAAGCACATCAACTCCCACCATGAGAAAACTAACAGAAACTACAACTGAGAGTCCAAGATCTTGGGAAAAGAAGATGACTGTTTCTTTAGCTTAATGTAGGAATATTTGACTTGCTATTTGACAGCTGTGTTCTTCCTATCTTTTCACATTATTCTTATTAATTGACTTAAGTAACCTTGAGGCAATCACAGGCTAGGGAGGAGTTCAATAGCTGTCTTGTTTAGTTTTGGACAGTTTAGTGCAGAACTATGCCCAGATCCGTAAATCAGTTCCACAGAAGCATGAAAAAATGTTTATGAGGATTATTTCATTAATATTCTTAGAATCATTATTTTACATGTTAGCATGTGTACATTTATTTCTCATTTCATGTTAATTTTCAAGGTTTAGTTAAACTGAATTTTCTTCATCAAATCCACATATGAAACTACTCTACAGAGAGATCAAGCATTATAGGTCACTGATACACCCTCTACTCTGTAGTAGCACCATTTATTAACTCCAGAAATATAAGGCAGTTATTTCAGCAGGTATGACTTCAGATTAAATTAATTTGTAAGTTTTCATTTTTTATTATCTCTCTTGCACACCCGTGTGTCAATAGGAAGCTGCATTAATGAAGGCTTTGCACTCTTTTAACTTAACTCTGACTGTTTTGGAATACTTTAAACACTATTAATTTTTTATTTTTATATCTCCCTTTATAGTCAGCAAGCTAAGCTCCAAACTTAAAATCCACAATATAGGATTTTGTAGAAGGAAATATTCAAGAACACAGAAAATGCCATTTTAATCTCTAGATTGAGAATTAGATTAGTCAGTGTGTTTGTGTAATAAGAAACTAGAGAAGTCCAAGAGACTAATACCTGCTACCATAAAAAAGAAGAAATCTTGAACTTGAGATTTGATACCATAAAATACCATGAAGAATTACATAGAACAGTCGGATAATGTGTAATATGATTGTAAATGATGCAGTAAACCACAAAAATAGCTTTGTCATAGTAAAAAAAATACATATGAAAATAAAAGAATTCTGCCCACAAGTAAGAAAAAATCAGAAACATTCTTCAGAAGTTGAAAATATTGCTTAAAATTCACTTGGTTCATCATCTCTAAAAACAAACAGAAAATACTGTTGAGCATTGACATATAGTTACTATTTGAGATATTGCCCTGTACAAAGGAGAAAATTAAACTGCCTTCAGTTTGCTTTAGATTATTCCTTTCAGATAAGAAGAAAAACAACGCAATCTCTTCTTATGGCAGAAATAAAGTGAAGAAAAAAGTGATGAAAAGCATACTTTTTTTTTTACAACATTGCTTCCCCTTCAAGCAATTTTAAATACCTTTATCTTTGTTTGTGACACCTTATTAAAAAAAATGTTCTGCGTAAAGAAGAACTAAGTATACTGGTCTTCAGACAAGTAAAAGCCTTGGCACAAAGCTAGCAATGATCAGAAATCTTCCTTCAGAAATATTTTCTACAGGAAAATTGCAATTTTTCCAGAAAAAAAATGAGGGCTCCCTGCATGGACTGCTCTCATCAACTTTATAATTTCATTGCAGAGAACAGGGAAATTGCTGGGAGCTTTGTGAGCTGGCAAGGAGGGTGAAGTTATGCGCTGGGGACAGGGACTTCTCCTGCTCTCTCCAGCTTACCCTGGGGACAGCTCTAACAAAAGAGAGAGAGAGAAGAGGAGGAAAATCTGGTTGCTCACTCTCAAGAAAGCTGTTTAGAAGATAACAATCAAAACTTCTGTGTAGAGGAAAAAAATAAATTGATAAAAGCCACCAAACTACGTGAGGCTATGAAACTCCTTTTTCATTCTCCTCAAGTATTTTTTTCCCCATTAACAGTGTCATGATTTTTTGTCAAAATTTCAGATGGACTTCCTTCTCTATGGGTATTTATTTCCATCTTCATGCCAGTTCTACATAAAAGACAAAAGAGCAAATGTGGTTTAGTCTTTTCTCTGCATCTTGAAGAGGGAACTGAGCATAAATCAGTAGAGCCAATATGAGGAGAAAGCTCCACAGGAGGAGAACCACAACCGTCAGGGTGTTGCACTCTCCATTATGGCAAGATCCTGTCAGTGCTGACATTGCATGGCTGGGACCCTGCAGAACAAAGTCTTGGCTCTGCAGACGTCAGTGACAACTGCCACATCAGTTAGAGCATGCAAAAGTGATAGATGGTGCTATGGCCACCTGCTTGCTCTGGAGAGGACAGTGAAGGGCAGCTGTAGGTGAAGAATAATTTCTTGTAAGAAAAAGAAAATTACCCTAGTTGCCTCCAAGTTCCTAATTGTGTTGCTCTTCAGATCCATGAGTGTGATCTGAAATAGTGTATAAAATAATATATTGGCCTAGATCCAGTTAGGCTGAAAACAATGCTGCTGGGCAGCAACAGTGCAGCAGCGCCATTTCCAGATCAAACATCAAATCATGAGAGAGACCATTTGCCAATGACACACCTGTGTGAGGAGATCCCAGAGCAGAGACACACCAGCCTTGGCAGTCCTGTGCCAACAGGCAGTGGCAGGGATAGTCACTTTGTGGTGTGGAGGAAGTTCTCCTTCCTCCACACCATCATCCCCAAGTCCTGACACACCTACTTGGCAGATGAGGCCATGGATCCTGCCCAGAACACAGGTTCACAGAGCAAGAAAGCACCTTCTTGATCCAGCCACAAAAGCATTCAAGCCCAGCCTTGCATTCAAGAAGCATGAAAAGGGAGTCAAAGGTGTAAATTTATTCTGATGTGGATGGGGAAGAGAACACATACTTACATTATCCAACTCTCAGGAAATCAGCACCTATTTAAAATCAACTTAATATAATTGTTCAGTGTTTGCAACAGCCTTTTTGCAGGAGAGGTGGCATAACAGCCAGACGGTGCAGTTGTCTCTCCTTCCTATAGCATACCCTTGGTCTCCTCTTGCTGACACAATGACCTGTAAATTCCCAATCCCAGCTAGACAGATGCAGCAGAAATCCTCTCTGCCATATCCTGACCCAGTTGAAATCTGAAATCCTTGTATTAGCTACTTAGGTACCACAGTGATAGGTACAATATGGATTAGATTTGAATACTGTAGAGATTTTCCACTAGAAAATCCCCTAGGATCTCTCTCAAAGTAGCATTAAATTCAGGTCCACTGCAACAGAAACCACAAGTTGGAAAAATGTGTCAGCGTATCTCTGAGTTTTATGGTAGATTATGATTTATAATGCATCTATTCCTAAGGGAATTGTATGAATTTTACAGGAGAAGTTTATGCTTAAATATAACTCATCCTATATGTTGTTTTTTTCTCTATGACTGTTAGATGATTGAAGAAAACCTTCAAAAAATATCAAATTAAAATATCAGCCTTTTCCTTAAAAGGGATTATTTGATGAATCAAATGCTTTCATTTTTACCCTCAGTTATTTATCTTTTCTGCCACATCACCGATGTTAATTAACCTCATTTGCGTAAACTAATGTAGAATGTACTCATTTGGAATGAATCCAGGAGTAAATCGGTGGCAAACTACTTAACTAATGTTTTATAAATCAAGCTAACGGTTTCAAAATGTTATACAAGTTTAATTCCCAATTTATTTCTACTGTGATTCTTCTAATCACTCACTTTACAATGAAATGTCACATTAATGTCATTTCAGCTACTGTGCCGCTTTGAGTGTGTATATATATATGAATCATTTCAAACTATGAAAACTAAAATACACTTTATGTTATTATATTTGCTTAATATAGCCTTGATTAACACATTGTTTTAAATAAAAACATTTCTCCTCAAGCTGTCCTGAAATTTCAGTTCTTTCTTTTGTTATGAATATTTTCCTTTGTTTGAACAAAAAAAAAAAACATTGCATTAGAAGAATGCATACGGATACACAATCAATAATATGGATTTAGGAGTGCGTTCACTTCACAGACTGGCTGTATTAAACTATACATAGTTAATATTTTTAAGAGAGGAGAAAGGCAAAACAAGAAAAATGTGGAAAAGTTTGGTGGACAGAAAGCCATGACCATCTATCAGACCATCTCATGAGTAAAAATGAAAATCTGTAACTTCATTCATATTACACATACTTAATACTCACAGTTCTACTGAGAGCAATGGAAGTGAAGGGTCACCTGCCTACATTAAGGGTATGACATTTTTAAGCCCCTGGAGGCAACTGAACTGGAATTCACTATTTTACTGGTTGCATGTTTTACACTATGTTCGATATACTTGATTTCATATTGCTAATTCCATAAAATTTGTTGTGAGTGGTAGTATGCAGACCATCAGAAACACATTTACTACTACCAGTAAGTGCTTTTAAAAGTCAGTAAAGTTGGTGGGCTTTATTTCCCCTTCAGGACCAAACATTTTATAAAGCTAATATAACATCCAAATTGAAATGGTTGTTATATAATAATTCTATAAATGCAATGCAATGTCACTGAATTCAGTAATTCCTTATTGCATTCATGGATTTCTAATGGATTTCATTTCACTGATTAATGCACTGCTAGTTTTAAAAATTACTGTTAATAAACATAATGAGCCAGATTGACAACAAGTGAATAGCTCTTGAATTTAAGAAGTTATGGTGATAAACTCTGGATTATAAACTCATCCAAATAAATCAAGCAGGCAATCAAGTATCTGTTCAAATTGGTCAAATGCTGTCACACAATTAATGAAAAATAATTTTTGTGATTTTCAAATTGTACCTTGCTCTGAAGTTGTGTTAATTCTTTTGCAAATACGCTATCAATTGTGGCTGGCATCTGCTGATAAAGAGAGGTGGAAAGGTTTTTCTTAGCAGCTCCTTTGTACTTCACCTACAGGGGAGGAAAAAGTGACACACAATGCAAAAATTAAGTAAGATACAGTTAGAGTATACTATAGTGGTTTGTGTTTTTTTCAATTAAATAATATGCCATAACGACCATTAGACCTGGAAAAATCTAATGACCTCTTACATACTGTCAGGCAACACCAGATTTTAAAATAATAACCTTAAAATACTTTAGGTGGATGTGTCTAATTCGTGAAGCAATATAAAGTAGCTCCTAATTAAATTCAAGAATCTTGGAGGAAGTAAGGCAAGCAAGGCAAGTTTGGGTTTTTTTCTATCCTTTATTAAATAATTTACAAAACCCAAAATTATCTTCTTTTCTATCCATTTTCCAAAGTTTTGCACAATGACAGCAATGAGATGCCAACAAAAGTATTCCACCAATTAATAAGTAGTAGCAATTAAATGTAACTGGAAAGACAGGAACATTGAATTTCACATGTCTGCCATAGTTTCTACTTAATCTGCTCATATTACAGACTCATTTTTAAATTATTTTTTATTTATTATATACTTCTTCCAGTGTTCAGTACTAGCAATTCCTCACAAAAGGGCTTTATGAGACAATTCAGAATAATAGTTCAAAATCTGGTAGGCTTTTGCTCTGGATCTAACTTTTTCAAATTCATAAAACAATAATGTCAAGTATTGCTGTGAAAGTAATAATAAGTATCAAAGATATCTTAAACAACACTGTCTAATGCCATTAATGTACTGCGCAACATATAGCTGCTCATTAGAGACTAGTTCCCCATATGTTTTACATATATCAATAACCTGCAGTAACATTTGCTGCTGTTTTCCAAAACAGAGAGCTCTTTTTCACTGCAGCAGATACGCCACTAAGAATTTCACTGTTTGAATTTTGTAAAAACAGGTTATGGGACACTAGAGGTCAGTAATTTACAAGATAAACCATCTATCACACCACTGGCTTCAGGTAATGCTGCAATAAGCAACAGAGTGCACAGCAGCATGATAACATAGAACATAAGGTTTTTAAATTCTGTATCTCTACATCTTTGGTTAATAATTAGCAACTTGTCTTTGGAATCTGACAAACTGATTGAATAAATTCTGCACATTGTGCTTTTGTAGACTATAACAGTCTGTCCCTTAGAAAGCATAATTTAATCATATTTATGTGCCACTCTTAGAAAATATTAAGATAAATAGAACAAAAATATTCATCATATGCATTTCTGTTGAATGCAGCCATAAGGCAAACAGATGTATTTCAGAAACAGAATATAGAATGTACATAAATTACAGAAGTCCAGACAGGGATATTGGGATGTTCTTCATCATAATCATAAAGTTAGGAAAAAAAGCTGAGGCATCAAAAATTTAAGTCTTCCAAGGTTCGCAGCAAGAGAAAAATAGCTCAGAACCAGCAATTCCTTAACAAAAGCAACTCTATCTGGTAAAACTCCTGCTGCTGTTCTCACCCGGGAAAAATAATGAGATGCAATCCTACAACAACTTGCACCTGGGACACAAAAAGCTGGCAGCAAACTCTGCTCTGGTATTTTGGAGGCTGTCATTCTTTCTTCACCACTACAGTTGTGCCTGTGTGTGCGTCTGTGTACACAGGAAGACCTAAAAACCCTGATATGGGTATGCCTATCCATGTATGCAAGTGCTCAGGTGACCTGCAGATGGCATTGACCTGAGGTCTGGTCCAGCCCCCTCCCGGAAGAAGGACAAGAGTTTCCTTCGCTCCTGCTTGATAGTCAGGCTGTGAATTCTCCACAGCAGTGAAACTACACACAGGTATCATTTGAAAACCTCATCACTGCAGAATAACTCAGTTTATCCATCCATAAAATGCAATAGCTAAGACTGCCTCAGAACCATTAATAATATATCTTTGAATCCCAGAATGAGTCTGTTGCATAATTCCAAATTATTGTTACTCATATATACAGTATACACTAATTACAGTGCTTTAAGTCACTTTAGCTTTAAACAGAATTGTTATTTGAAATAAGACATCCTTCCCCTGCTAAAGAAAAATACTCAAATCAGAGTGTTTTTATGAGGGCTAAGAAGCAAACAGAATTCTTCAATCTTTATGTCTTACCTCAGAAATAAAAGCACCAAGACTTTTCACATGTTTTAGTTGTAGGGTGTCAGGTACAAATATGCACTTGCCCTTAGATTTTTTAAACTCTTCTTTATAGTGTATCTACAAAGAAGAGGGGAAAAAAAAGGTTAATTGTTCTTAGAAAAATCAGTATAAAACAAATAATGGCTACTATTATTATTGTTGTTGTTATTTTATTTATAGATACTATGCTGGGTGGCTTGCAAATACCTCAGGCTCTAGCAGGGGGATTGCACTAAATTGCCTTCAGAGGTCCCTTCCAACCTCTACCATTCTGTGATTCTGTGGAACAAATTAGGCCACACAGGGAAATACCCAGATTTCACACACCAGGGCTATGTAAAACTCACAGAACTCTTTAATAATAAAGATGAAAAAGATACTATTTTTTTCTACATCTACAGCACATTTTCATCAGTGTCTGTAGATGTTCTAATATCTCCAAAGAAAAGATAACTGAAGTATTTTCTCCGTGACGTCAAAGATAAAATTGTTTAACTTCTAACCCAGATTTAGCAAGCACAGAATCTGTATAACACAATCAAAAGCCACTGCCAAAAGCTTTATGAACCCAAGAGTTAGATGAAGCAATTCAGAGGCCACTGCCAATTCATTGCCTCAAAGCACTCCAACAGTCATGACATACAGGTAATATTTAAGTTTAAGAGTATTTTAATATGAAATAGAACCATTTTTATGTCATAAGTATGCACAAGAGAAACAATTTTTGAAGCAAAATACAACAATGTATTTTAGGGGGGAAAAAGTGCTTTTTAAAAAAAAAAAAATCTGAACAACCTACCAACATTTTTCTTACCATGGGGCAAGCAATACAGGTAGGTATAGAAAGCAGTTGTCTAAGAATAATCACATGACTGTTGGTGAAGTCAGCATTACAGTTTGTATTGGTGAGAATGCGAGGGGATGAACCCCATGGACATGGTGAATGTGGAGGGATCTTTATTATTATGGAAGAACTGCATGTCTATGATGAGATGGACTAAAAAACATTTTAAAGACCAACCTTACATAGATAGCCTTAAATGTTTTTAGTGATCTTTATTTCTTCATTCACAGAATAGTTTAGTTCAATGCAAGATGAATTATTTAGTATTAAGCTTTCATGGTTATTATCTGCTACCATTTCTCTAACCTCATTTTCACATTCTGAACAACAGCAGCTTGCATTTATGCACTCTAGACTTGCTGACAAGCACTGACAGAAGCAATATGATCTGCATCTGAGCATTACAGAATTATGCAGTCTTAATTTCCTCTTTCTCTGAATCCTTAATGGGTATCACAAGACTTATTCTATGCCCCTCTACAGGGACTTGGAAAATTCACGAGAAAGATGGCAGCTCACACAGAATCAGCTCCTGCACTTTCTGATGCAAACTTTTTGCCCACCGCAAAATGGATTACATAATGCCAAATTAATCTCAGACTGATGACTACATAATCCTCACATGGGAAATAATTTTGGTTACTATTGAGCTCATCCAGGTTTGGGCTATGGAAGGAATCTACATCTCATTACCAAATCATATTATCTGCCCTTGTAGATTACTGTGTATTCTAAATAAAAACTGTTCGGTGAACAATGAGTGTAAAATTACTGTATGTCATCATTTTACTCAGGAACACACAAATCCAATGGCTCATGTAAGCTATGCATGACACTGTACTCCAAGGTAATCACAGCAATACACAGAAGGGGCAGTTTTATGATAAGCATGAGCACACACTTACTGCCAACCTGCACACATGGACCAGCACGCACACATGTATTTGCGGGGCGCAGAAAGGTGGGAGAAGAGAATGTGTACATAAACAGTTTTTTAAAAAGCTTCATATAATTATGGTCATTCATGGTGATACAGCTGAGAAATGACATGAAAAAGCTGACTGTCTACTGGTTAGGTTTGATTGAGTTCTCGGCAGGGGGAGATGGGGGAGTCTTGCTGCTCACAACTTAGATAAATCACCCACAGAATACTGAGAACTGGCTGTATTACATCCATTTTAATTATAAAGCAAGAATTACATTTAAAAATCAATCATGAAAGCCTTCTAAGGTATCTCTTAATTGAGGGGATGACATGACACAACTAGAAGAAACAATCACAGCCATTCTACTGTAGAAGTCATGCTTTCAAAATAATCAAAAGCAGTACAGGACTAATGCCATCTCTTTACTCCTATATTATTTGCGTTTATTATACTCAGCCATAGAGGCCACAAAATGCAAATAGGCTCAAACGAGCAATTTAAAGAGGACATATAACAAAATGTGTGGTCAAACTCTGATCCAACACACTCCGTTCTGCTACAAAAGTGTCTGCATTGCTTGGAATCAGGAAGGTGGAAGATTAAATGGGATAAGTATAATGAAGTCATGACATATGCACTTAAAAAGCATATTTATTGTAAATGACATAAGCAAGAGGCTTAAAAGGTTGGCTATGACTGAACATAACCAGTGACTGAAAGGAATATGCAGAGAAGTTAATATTCCCCTTCAAATTTTGGGGTTACAAATTCAAATGACTGAAATACTGAATAGGAAATTTTGCCTGTGAGTGATTTACTCTTTACCACAAAAATACACTGTTTAGGTTGAGCAGATCTGCTAAGCCTTGTGAAAAAAACAGATAATAGGAAAAATTTGCAAATTATGGCCTGGATCCACCACTGCTCTTTTTGTATACTTTTGAGGTCCAATAGCTCACTAAAGGCCTAACTTTTAATAGGTCTCTCCTGATCCCTTTCTTCTCCCTGACTCATCATAAAACTACTCTGACCAGCAGCACAGCTATTCAGTAAAAGTGTATTAAAATTCCTAGACAACCACCGAAACACTAAGCTTCAAATTGCATTTTTTTCTTAATGCATGTTATATGGCAATATCAACTTTGTAAGACAAGAGCATCCATGCTAGACCAAAAGGGAACTTTTTTCCACTGAGAATTCCCTTTCCAACCCTACATTTCTTAATTTATAATCTCTCACAACAGCAAGAGCTGTGTCAGACCACAGATCTATCGAATACAAAATCCTCTGTGGCCACAGAGAAACCTAGAGAAAAGTACAAGAACAGGGCAAGCATACAGTATCGTTGACTCACAGTATTCTACTAGTCTCCAACAATTTGGACGACACAGTCCACCAGAGTTGTGACTAGTAATGGTGAGCACAGAGGAACAGCTCCACTCCGAATTAGGTGGTCACAACTCTGCTGTTATCAGTGGAAAGGCACTTTGTTTCTGCACATGACTCTAGGTCTCTTTGGCCCTTGCTTTATGACAAACAGATACGTCAAAGCAAATTTGAACTCTGTACAAGAGTAGTAAACGGCAAGTAGTAGTGCTTCTTGCTATAGGGAAAAAGAAACACTGGAACCATACATTACCAAAATTCAGCAGAATCTTCTGAAGCAGAGGGTGTCTCTCTACCAACAGCCATTATGATAGTTTGTCCAATGATCACTTTATTCATATAATAATTCCCCTCTCGGCTCATAACAGTATTCACAACACACCACACAATCAAAGCACAGAAGACATGAAAATATACCAAAATATAAGTAATACAAGCAAATGAACAGGCTGAATTTCAATATGGATGAGAAAAGGCCTGGAAAGGAAGGCAATTCATATAAATCAAACACACATGATGGTTTTGAAAATATCTGTGGAATAAAACTGCATAATGGAGGGAGATTAAATGAAATGGCTTTAGGGACAAAAATCCAGGGGGTATCACAGCCACAGAACAAACATCTGCCAACCTCAAACGAAAACGGGGATTTCCTCAAGAACTGGAGCACATAAACACTTCACAACTACCCCTATGTACAGTTCAAGGCTGACAGTTTTGCATGCACTAAGAGCTGCCATTGTAACACTTTCTTAAAACCATACTGCTAAATTAAATTCAGCCTGCAAAGAATGCAGGGCAAGCATAGTGCAGCCCCAGTATCTCAGTTATGAGCACTCCTGGCACTGTGTTCTGGTGGAGGAGCTGTGCTGACAGTTCCACCAGCAGAAAAGGACACCCAGTCCTGTGCTCGGCAAGGACACAGGCTGCTGCCCCAAGGTCATCTTAGGGAGAAACTGCAAGCCTCATAAAACCATAGTACACATAAAATGTAGAGATGTACACCAAAGATACAACCACACAAACAGCCATTTGCACAAAGATTCATGGTAAAAATTATAAAGAATATATTAAAAGTTCTGAACATTAACGAGTCAAAAATCAAAGGCAAGAATGTAATCTCCTTGCAGTTTATTGGTCTCCACAATGAAGTGATGAAGTGTGCAGGATGAGGAACTTATCCTCCAGCACAAAGGACTTCACTGGTCATAAGAAATTCCAATTATAGCAAAAATTCTGGGAAACAAAGTTCACCCCCTATACATACGCATATTCCACTCAAGCCAATGAAGAAACACCTACTGATTTCAGCAGAGGCTGAATAAGGCCCAAGAACTGGATGCCATTTTTAAACATATTGCCTCTTCTTTGAAATTAAATTGGTCTGGACCACTTCATATTACTACTGCTTTGAAAGCATTAATGACACTTTGTCATTACACTTTACATATCTCAAGGAAAATTTAGCACACTTGCAGGCTAAACACATCACAATTTTTCAGCAAAAGCCCATATCTCTGAACTTCATCCCTTAGGCTTCAGAAACCAGGCTTGACTTAGTTACTCACCTTAGCTTCCAAGTCCCTGCAGAAAATCAGAGAAAATACAACCACTCCATTTACCAGTTAATTAACAGCCACAGCCAACATTACTCTTAATGGGTACACAGCACAGTAATAATCCCTTTTCAATTAAAGAAAATGTTTCTTCAGCATTTTTTAAGGAGTTTTTGCCTTTAAGAACAGCAACCATGTTTAGAAACAAGTTGCATGGAAGCAATAAATGTATTTTGGGTCTCATAAGTGCTCCAGGTCAATTTTCATTTCGGCCTCATGATTTTATGAGAATATAAAATCAACATACTCATTCAGCTTGAACAATAATGTCCCAAATCTAAATGTCAAATTATAACACAACATGGGCCAGGCATCATTTTTTTTGTTTCTTTAGAAGAACACTTATTAAAGCAAGTCACTCTCTCCTCAGTAATGTCTCTGCTGCCAGCCACCGTCCTCGCAAGAGAAATATCACTCTTAACTCATACTCACATGAAGGGACAAAGTTACTCCTCAGACACACTTTCCCAGAAGAAAACAGAAATAAACTTCCATCAAAGTAAATCTGATGCTGTCACACTGAAGCAATTGGATCTACTCCAATTTAAAATGTCTTGGATCCCATCTATCACGTTTATATAATGTCTATATCTGATCAACAGTTTTAAAAACCTATAGGAACTAAGTCAAGAATTTGCTAGCTATATAATTTTTAAATAAATTATAGCAATTCAGTGGATTCTTCCTATAAGTGTAAGTCAATAATAATACACTAAGCAGTTTTGAACATCTATCACCACAGATCAATAGATAACACTCAAAATTCACCTATTTTATTTTTATCCTTCCTTACAGCCATGTATACTGGCACCCAGTTCTGTTCTAACCAATCAAACTTCACAAGACTAGGCTATCACTAGAAAAAAATACTACATTTTCCTGATGAAATCAGACAAAGTGTTCTCATGGGAGACATCCTCTGCATGAGACCCACTTTTTGGAACATTTTTCTTCCTAGCGCCTATGTTTCATACCATGCAAGTGCTCTGAAAAGCTCATCCTTCTGCATCTGATAATTTAAGGTACCAGAGGAGGCTGTGCTTTTCTATTATTTTGTGTGCTTTTATATTTGAACATTGGATGGGCACATGCTGCACTGTACATACCTGAAAAAATACGTACTGTAAATATAAACCCATTTGAAAAGAGAAATGCAAACGTAAGGATGCAAACAGTCACTGTCACTTACATCACTTATTATTTCACTGCATTTTCGGGCCAGTTCCATATTTTTGTCTTCAATAACAGGCTTGAGGAAGACCTGCAAAAGAAAGGTAATCATTCCAGGTTTATTGTCCTAAAAGGGTAACAACAGAAGGAAGTATGTATTTTTCTGTATTATTCTATTATGTATTATTCTACTGGGGTTTAACTCACCTTGTCTTCTTCTTCCTCATTCTCATTTTCGTCTTTCCTGAGATCCTGAATGACAGATGCTCGCATTTTAATACTCTGCAGAAAACAATGAAAACTCTAAAATGGTTCAGTGCTGCAGGAAAGGGCTCAGACCCTACAGCATGCCTGGAATCAATGCTTCATCTCTGTCCTCCACTGCACTTAACTCTACCAAGGCTCCTTCCTTATTTAGGCAGCACTTGACAGTCTTTATCTGAACAATTCAGTGTGAGTGAACTGAAAGACATTGCAGATGGCCTTGCCAGCTATCAGTCGCAGCAGAGTTAATGCTTTCTTACAGATAAAATATAATTGAATGACCTATCCCAGTCAACTGTTTTTAAAATTACTAGAACACAATTAAAATATTGTGATGCAGTTAATTCATAACATAAGTAATTTAGTAAAATTAACAGGCTTAAAAGGGGAACATTGACTCAAGGGTTATGGGAAAACTGCCCAGTTCCAAGATTCAAGGCATCACCAATTCCAAAACCAGTTATCACAAACCTTTATATTGTTGATCCAATAACAGAGCTTTTTGATTTCAAAAACACACTGTTCTCATTTTCCAGTAGATGTAACTGCTAGTATATTTTTCAGTAAATCTACCTTTTCCACAAAGTATATAAAATTCCTTAAATGATTTGCATATTATGTTGGATGAAGGTTAAACGTATGGGTACATAGATACAAACACATCTGTATACTTACAAGTATACATGGCTATGTATTTACACAAACACAAATGATCCTTCACTGTTAAAAAACATCATGGTCTGCGGTCTCAAAACCAACCTTTTTCAGTATGAGATCACTGACTCCAGCTGCAATGAAACTGAAAGATATCCTTATGCCAATGGATATAGTTTCACAGTGTTTGCTTCTGTAAAACAAGCAAGGAGGTATTATAGGACCAATTGGAGTAACCAGCATTTTAACATTATCTTTCTTTCCACACTGTAGTTTGTATACTTCTCATTTTATAGAGGTCAATATTCTGAACTTATCTAGGAAAGTGATTCACCACTACGCAGCTTTGCAATCAGGCAAAGATACAAGGAATGTGTACTCTTAAAAAAACTCTACAAAGAACTTTAAGTACTTGTGCCCAAACGCAATGTCTTTAGAGCTTATTTAAAAACACACATTTCCTTAAAAAAGAGAAACATTTCAAAGCAGAGGAAAAACATAGCATTTGACTTAGTTAAGGTCTGAGAATTTGAAAAAAATACGAAGAACAAAGGCAGAGACAGAATTCTTTATATGTTAATAGTATAGAAAGCTTCAAGATTTTACATTCTGCTATTTCAAATATAAGCTCCTACGGTTCAGATTTGGATTGGCATTACTGAAGTTCAGGTTGAAATCCAGATGTCTAGTTTGTATAGGTGAGAGTTATCTGTAATTTATGCTGTAAATTACACTTTTGGAGCTCAGGATGATTCATCCTTGTGGAAACAAATAGCTTACATAAGAAGGGTAGTCACAGTACAGGTCATTTTAGAAGATTATGGCCACTGCAAAACTATTTCTAAGCAACAGATTCATGCATGATTTCAAGGACCACACATTAAGGAGACAGAATACCTACAAAAGTGCCAGACAGAAATGCAGATTTCAAGGCTTCATTTTGGGTTTTTTGTGATAATACTGCAAATACTATATTCTTCCAGCGCAGTTAGTTTCCTTTTCCTTCCTACATTTAATGATTTTTTTAAGTAGAGACATTGAAAAATATTTAAGAAAGTAGAGAAAAGCTATTAATAGCTGCAAAGCTTGCTGAATATGGAGAAACCTTTAGCTATTTTTTACACCAGAAAGCACAGATGGTCAAAATGACAAAGTCAAAACTGTTTGGGTTTGGGGGGG